ATACTCCCCACCGCCCCTAGTGGATACTCCCCACCGCCCCTAGTGGATACTCCCCACCGCCCCCTAGTGGATACTCCCCACCGCCCCTAGTGGATACTCCCCACCGCCCCTAGTGGATACTCCCCACCGCCCCTAGTGGATACTCCCCACCGCCCCTAGTGGATACTCCCCACCGCCCCTAGTGGATACTCCCCACCGCCCCTAGTGGATACTCCCCACCGCCCCTAGTGGATACTCCCCACCGCCCCTAGTGGATACTCCCCACCGCCCCTAGTGGATACTCCCCACCGCCCCTAGTGGATACTCCCCACCGCCCCTAGTGGATACTCCCCACCGCCCCTAGTGGATACTCCCCACCGCCCCTAGTGGATACTCCCCACCGCCCCTAGTGGATACTCCCCACCGCCCCTAGTGGATACTCCCCACCGCCCCTAGTGGATACTCCCCACCGCCCCTAGTGGATACTCCCCACCGCCCCTAGTGGATACTCCCCACCGCCCCTAGTGGATACTCCCCACCGCCCCTAGTGGATACTCCCCACCGCCCCTAGTGGATACTCCCCACCGCCCCTAGTGGATACTCCCCACCGCCCCTAGTGGATACTCCCCACCGCCCCTAGTGGATACTCCCCACCGCCCCTAGTGGATACTCCCCACCGCCCCTAGTGGATACTCCCCACCGCCCCTAGTGGATACTCCCCACCGCCCCTAGTGGATACTCCCCACCGCCCCTAGTGGATACTCCCCACCGCCCCTAGTGGATACTCCCCACCGCCCCTAGTGGATACTCCCCACCGCCCCTAGTGGATATTCCCCACCGCCCGTAGTGGATATTCCCCACCGCCCCTAGTGGATATTCCCCACCGCCCCTAGTGGATATTCCCCACCGCCCCTAGTGGATATTCCCCACCGCCCCTAGTGGATATTCCCCACCGCCCCTAGTGGATATTCCCCACCGCCCCTAGTGGATATTCCCCACCGCCCCTAGTGGATATTCCCCACCGCCCCTAGTGGATATTCCCCACCGCCCCTAGTGGATATTCCCCACCGCCCCTAGTGGATACTCCCCACCGCCCCTAGTGGATACTCCCCACCGCCCCTAGTGGATACTCCCCACCGCCCCTAGTGGATATTCCCCACCGCCCCTAGTGGATATTCCCCACCGCCCCTAGTGGATATTCCCCACCGCCCCTAGTGGATATTCCCCACCGCCCCTAGTGGATATTCCCCACCGCCCCTAGTGGATATTCCCCACCGCCCCTAGTGGATATTCCCCACCGCCCCTAGTGGATATTCCCCACCGCCCCTAGTGGATATTCCCCACCGCCCCTAGTGGATATTCCCCACCGCCCCTAGTGGATATTCCCCACCGCCCCTAGTGGATATTCCCCACCGCCCCTAGTGGATATTCCCCACCGCCCCTAGTGGATACTCCCCACCGCCCCTAGTGGATACTCCCCACCGCCCCTAGTGGATACTCCCCACCGCCCCTAGTGGATATTCCCCACCGCCCCTAGTGGATATTCCCCACCGCCCCTAGTGGATATTCCCCACCGCCCCTAGTGGATATTCCCCACCGCCCCTAGTGGATATTCCCCACCGCCCCTAGTGGATATTCCCCACCGCCCCTAGTGGATATTCCCCACCGCCCCTAGTGGATATTCCCCACCGCCCCTAGTGGATATTCCCCACCGCCCCTAGTGGATACTCCCCACCGCCCCTAGTGGATATTCCCCACCGCCCCTAGTGGATATTCCCCACCGCCCCTAGTGGATATTCCCCACCGCCCCTAGTGGATATTACCCACCGCCCCTAGTGGATATTCCCCACCGCCCCTAGTGGATATTCCCCACCGCCCCTAGTGGATATTCCCCACCGCCCCTAGTGGATATTCCCCACCGCCCCTAGTGGATATTCCCCACCGCCCCTAGTGGATATTCCCCACCGCCCCTAGTGGATATTCCCCACCGCCCCTAGTGGATATTCCCCACCGCCCCTAGTGGATATTCCCCACCGCCCCTAGTGGATATTCCCCACCGCCCCTAGTGGATATTCCCCACCGCCCCTAGTGGATATTCCCCACCGCCCCTAGTGGATACTTCCCCACCGCCCCTAGTGGATACTCCCCACCGCCCCTAGTGGATACTCCCCACCGCCCCTAGTGGATACTCCCCACCGCCCCTAGTGGATACTCCCCACCGCCCCTAGTGGATACTCCCCACCGCCCCTAGTGGATACTCCCCACCGCCCCTAGTGGATACTCCCCACCGCCCCTAGTGGATACTCCCCACCGCCCCTAGTGGATACTCCCCACCGCCCCTAGTGGATACTCCCCACCGCCCCTAGTGGATACTCCCCACCGCCCCTAGTGGATACTCCCCACCGCCCCTAGTGGATACTCCCCACCGCCCCTAGTGGATACTCCCCACCGCCCCTAGTGGATACTCCCCACCGCCCCTAGTGGATACTCCCCACCGCCCCTAGTGGATACTCCCCACCGCCCCTAGTGGATACTCCCCACCGCCCCTAGTGGATACTCCCCACCGCCCCTAGTGGATACTCCCCACCGCCCCTAGTGGATACTCCCCACCGCCCCTAGTGGATACTCCCCACCGCCCCTAGTGGATACTCCCCACCGCCCCTAGTGGATATTCCCCACCGCCCCTAGTGGATATTCCCCACCGCCCCTAGTGGATATTCCCCACCGCCCCTAGTGGATATTCCCCACCGCCCCTAGTGGATATTCCCCACCGCCCCTAGTGGATATTCCCCACCGCCCCTAGTGGATATTCCCCACCGCCCCTAGTGGATATTCCCCACCGCCCCTAGTGGATATTCCCCACCGCCCCTAGTGGATATTCCCCACCGCCCCTAGTGGATATTCCCCACCGCCCCTAGTGGATACTCCCCACCGCCCCTAGTGGATACTCCCCACCGCCCCTAGTGGATACTCCCCACCGCCCCTAGTGGATATTCCCCACCGCCCCTAGTGGATATTCCCCACCGCCCCTAGTGGATATTCCCCACCGCCCCTAGTGGATATTCCCCACCGCCCCTAGTGGATATTCCCCACCGCCCCTAGTGGATATTCCCCACCGCCCCTAGTGGATATTCCCCACCGCCCCTAGTGGATATTCCCCACCGCCCCTAGTGGATATTCCCCACCGCCCCTAGTGGATACTCCCCACCGCCCCTAGTGGATATTCCCCACCGCCCCTAGTGGATATTCCCCACCGCCCCTAGTGGATATTCCCCACCGCCCCTAGTGGATATTACCCACCGCCCCTAGTGGATATTCCCCACCGCCCCTAGTGGATATTCCCCACCGCCCCTAGTGGATATTCCCCACCGCCCCTAGTGGATATTCCCCACCGCCCCTAGTGGATATTCCCCACCGCCCCTAGTGGATATTCCCCACCGCCCCTAGTGGATATTCCCCACCGCCCCTAGTGGATATTCCCCACCGCCCCTAGTGGATATTCCCCACAGCCCCTAGTGGATATTCCCCACCGCCCCTAGTGGATATTCCCCACCGCCCCTAGTGGATATTCCCCACCTCCCCTAGTGGATATTCCCCACCGCCCCTAGTGGATATTCCCCACCGCCCCTAGTGGATATTCCCCACCGCCCCTAGTGGATATTCCCCACCGCCCCTAGTGGATATTCCCCACCGCCCCTAGTGGATATTCCCCACCGCCCCTAGTGGATATTCCCCACCGCCCCTAGTGGATATTCCCCACCGCCCCTAGTGGATATTCCCCACCGCCCCTAGTGGATATTCCCCACCGCCCCTAGTGGATATTCCCCACCGCCCCTAGTGGATATTCCCCACCGCCCCTAGTGGATATTCCCCACCGCCCCTAGTGGATATTCCCCACCGCCCCTAGTGGATATTCCCCACCGCCCCTAGTGGATATTCCCCACCGCCCCTAGTGGATATTCCCCACCGCCCCTAGTGGATATTCCCCACCGCCCCTAGTGGATATTCCCCACCGCCCCTAGTGGATATTCCCCACCGCCCCTAGTGGATATTCCCCACCGCCCCTAGTGGATATTCCCCACCGCCCCTAGTGGATATTCCCCACCGCCCCTAGTGGATATTCCCCACCGCCCCTAGTGGATATTCCCCACCGCCCCTAGTGGATATTCCCCACCGCCCTTAGAGCCCCTGTCTGAGATGCTTGAACATTTGTACCATCTCGCCTCGCCCCGCCTCATCTCCGCCCTGCATTACCTCCTGGCAGGTCAAGTGGATATTCCCCACCGCCCTTGAAGCCCCTGTCTCTGTCAACCTTGGCCATCGCTCCCGTTCCTGTGAGTCCTTTGTGTACACCGTGCTCTCATGCCCCCTCCTTGTGAGTGCGCCATGCCCCATTTTTGTGAGTGACTCACATCCCCTTTGTGGGAACCGTGTTCTCACCCTTTGTGGGTGGGCAAAAAACGCTGTCAGATCAGAGGTGTCTTCTTATAGTCGCCTACCCTCCTGCCCAGTTCTTGAGAATTCTCAAAAACCAGCACAAGACGCCGCCAGTCAGATCAGAGGTGTCTTCTTATAGTCTATAGTCGCCTACCCACCTGCCCAGTTCTTTTTCTCCCATCTATGCCCCTCCACCCCTCGTCCACCCTTCATCCATCCGTCATCCACCCCTCATCCATCCCTCAGGGTACAACGTTTTTGGCTGCAACGCCGGCGTTCCCGTTGATGACTTTTTGAGAGTTCTCACAATCTGCCTACTCACTTCCTGCGTGCCTCCCCCCTCCTTTGCGCATGCCAATCCTCCCCCCTCCGTCTGTCATCCATCCCTCGTCCATCCCTCATCCATCCCTCATCCAACTCTCATCCATTCCCCCCATCCAGGGTACGACATCCATGGTTTCAGCGTCGATGCTCCCATTGATGACTTGATTTGCCCAAACCGACATCCCCTTGTCTGTTCATGCCCTTCTCTCCTCCTCGCCTATCCAGGATACGACATCCATGGTTTCAACCCCGATTTTCCCATGGATGCCAGGGGCCTCGATGTGGCTGCCAGATACATTGCTGGGGTTGTCGAGGAGGAGAAGAAGGCGAATCCTGGTGGGTGGAGAGCGGTGCTGTGTAGTGCTGAGCTGGTTGAGAAAATACCCAGAGGGCTAGGTGGGGAGAGAATCGATGAGGCTGTGAGGTACATTGCTGGGATTCTCGAGGAGGAGAGAAGGGCGCATCCTGGTGGGTGGGTGGGTGGGTGGGTTGAGTCCTGTGCCGTGTTGTGCTGTTAAGGGGCTACCAAGAGGGCTGGATGCTAACGGCCTTGACGAGGCTGTGAGGTACATTGCTGGGATTCTCGAGGAGGAGAGAAGGGCAAGTCCTGGTGGGTGGAGTGCTGTGCTGTGCTGTGCTGGTTGGGAGATTAGCAACAGGGTTAGGTCTGAAAAGCCTCGATGAGGGTGCCAGATACGTTGCTGGGATACTGGAGGAGGAGAAGAAGGCGAATCCTGGTGGGTGGGTGGGTGGGTGGGTGGGTGGGTGGGTGGGTGGGTGAGTGGGTGGGTGGGTGGGTGGGTGGGTGGGTGGGTGGGTGGGTGGGTGGGTGGGTGGGTGGGTGGGTGGGTGGGTGGGTGGGTGGGTGGGTGGGTGGGTGGGTGGGTGGGTGGGTGGGTGGGTGGGTGGGTTGAGTCCTGTGCTGTGTTGTGCTGCCTAAGGGGCTATCAAGAGGACTGGATGCCAGGGGCCTCGATGAGGGTGCCATGCCAGATACGTTGTTGGGATACTGGAAGAAGAGAAGAAGGCGAATCCTGGTGGGTGGGGTGCTGTGTCGTGCTGATCGATTTTTCCTCCTTTTCCCCTCCCTCCTCACCAGACGTGACGTACATAGTGGGGGGTATCAGCCAAGGGGGCGGCCTCTCCCTCTACCTCATGTGCCGGAAGGCGCTTGGAAGCTTCGCAGATGGTTCCGATGCCTCTTCTCTGCCTTTCTCTGCCTCCATCGGCCTCAGCACGTGGCTGCCCAAGTGCAGGTGGGTCTGGGGAAGGTGTTACCTGAAGTGGCTGGCTTGAGAAAATGTGGGGAATTTCCGCTCTGCCCGGTTCTGCCTCGATTGGCCTCAGCACGTGGCTGCCCAAGTGCAGGTGGGGTCTGGGGGATCTGGAAAAAGGTGGGTCGTTTCCTCTCTGCGTTTCTCTGCCTCCATTGCCCTCAGCACGTGCTATCCTGTCCCAGCGATGAATCCATGATTCCCTCTAACTTTCCTTCACAATCTGATTTCGGGTCCTGGAGGGGCGGGCGCTGCTGTTGCAGAGAGGACTACTTTGGTCCACTCAAAATTTCCTCCCCCGTTCCTCCCCCGTTCCTCCCCCGTTCCTCCCCCTTTCCTCCCCCTTTCCTCCCCCTTCCTCGCCCTTTCCTCCCTTCTCCCTCCTTCCGTATCCCCCCCCCCACCCTCACATTCTGGTGCTGAGACCTCGAGGGACGGACGCTACTGTCCCAGAGAGGTTTGCCTTTTGAGTCGACTCAAACGTTGAATTTGTGGCTCCTTTCCTTCTTCCCCTTTTTCACCCGCCAATCCCTCCCCCCCCACCTCCACAGTCTGATTCCGGCACCTGGAGTGGCGGACGCCGCTGGTCCAGAGAGGGCTGCGAGGCATCCGCTGTTCATGGCACATGGAAAATGTACGGTGTGGGAGGGGGGGGGGAATGTTGGCATGTGCTTTAAAGGCATTTTTGAGTTGGCTCAAAAAAAGTTGTTCCAGAGAGGGCTGCGAGGCATCCTCTGTTCATGACGCATGGAAAATGTACGGTGTGGGAGGGGCGGGTAGAAAATGTTATGGAAACGCTTTTTAAATGATTCAATTTAAGAACCCAGTTGTTGCAGAGAGGGCTGCGAGGCATCCTCTGTTCGTGGCACATGGGAAATGTACGGTGTGGGAGGGGCGGGTGGCATGCGCTATGGGAGTTATACAAGCATGGTGACTTGTGGAGTTGACTCAATGCCGTGTGCTTGCATGTGCAAGGGCATCTTGTTGAATACTTTTGTGTGCTTGTGCTCATGCTTGTGCTCATGCTCATGCTCATGCTCATGCTCATGCTCATGCTCATGCGTGTGCGTGTGCTTGTGCGTGCGCAAGGGCATTGTTGATGACCTAGTGGCCCACACCTGGGACAGGGACTGCTCTCAGTGCCGTGTGCTTGCGTGTGCAAGGGCATGTAGTTGGCATGTGGTAGTGTGTGTGCTCGTGCGTGTGCGTGTGCTCGTGCAAGGGCATCTGGTTGATTACTTTTGTGTGCTCGTGCTCATGCGTGTGCGTGTGCGTGTGCGTGTGCGTGTGCGTGTGCAGATGACGACCTAGTGGCGTACACCTGGGGCAAGGACTGCTCTCACTTGCTGCGTGATGCTGGCTTCACCAACCTCTCCTTCAAGTCCTATCCCAAGTGAGAATGCGCCACTGTGAAATATGTGAAATATTTGCAGTTGACGACCTAGTTGGCTCAAAAAACTCGCCTTCAAGTCATCCCCCGCGTGAGAATGCGTCACTGTGGATTACGGTAATGGTTTTTTTTTTTTTTTTTTTTTTTTTTTGTCGACTTAAAAGTCTCATTTTCAAGTCATACCCATAGTGAGAATGCGTCAGTGTAGAGTATGTGGTGGGGTGACTTTCATCAGGATTTCTCTCTTCTGTGCCCCACAGGTTGGGTCACGGCATGTGCCGTGAGGAGCTGGCAGATATGAGAGCGTGGCTGCTGGAGATGACTTTTGAGTCGACTCAAAGGTTTTGGGCGAACTTCAATCCAACTCTCTCTCCTTTGCCCCACAGGTTGGGTCACGACATGTGCCGTGAGGAGCTGGAGGATATGAGGGCGTGGCTGCTGGAGCACGCCCCTCCTCCTGCCTGACCTCCTGCCTGCTGCTTTGAGGCACCTCATTTTGAGTCTACAGTAGTTTTGAGGCGCCTCAAATCGAGTTGGCAGACATGAGGGAGTGGCTGCTGGAGCACGTCCCTCCTCCAGCCTGACTCTCCTGCCTGCCGCTTGATCGGATTCAATAAAAGCAGCTAGTGTAACACCACCTCCTCCTGCTCCTGCGTGCACTTCTGTCACTTTAGAAACGCACTTAGAGAAAAGTACCTCGATCCACCTCAAAGTGACAGAAGCTTCTTTTGGTTGGCAGCTCCTGTCTGCTGCTTGAGTCGACTCGAGAACAGCAGCTGCCAACCAAGACCAATTTGACCTTCTGCCTGCTCTAGTACCGGCAGTCTACTCACAATAAGCAGCTGACACCACCTGCTCGATCTCCTACCGTGCCTCCCTGTCTGGTACGCATGGTGCCACACATGCGTTTCGAGTATACCGGGTTGTGAGTGCTCTGAGTGTAAGGCACCTCGAAGTCGGTTTCAAAGGAGTGCTTGAAGCAGAAGCGCCTCCCACTGCACACAACCCATTGGATCTCCTGTTTGATGCCCCACTGGAACACACTGTTAGTATGTATGTATATCCTGCTTATAAATATTGTATTTTCATGTTGGGCATTGGTGTTGCACCACACAACATATAAAGAGTGTTCCAATCCATGATCCATTCTCTAATGCGGTATGTACCAAGAACGCCCTCATAAACTGGTGGTTGGCTTAGAATGATGGCTGGTGGGTGTAGCAAGCTGCTGCACCGCATTCCACCTTCCAGAATGTAATTGTTACCGAGTGTGGACTTCTGAGGCTTCCTAGGCAATCTGTCCCGCACACCCCCCCGCCTCCTCCATCCACATACTCATCTCTGAACCACTTAACCCCCTATACACACACACTCCTTTATGCACACTTACTCCCTTGTTTTAGAAAATGTCTCAGACAGAACTCCCTACCTACAGCCTAACATATCCAGATTTTCCTTCCTTCTTGCCATTCCTGTATTATTTATTTCCCCATGTCCCGCATTCAAGGACGTTTTTCTCTGTCTTTCAGCCAGTCGTTGAGGCTAGCTTCAGTAGCCGCACTCACTGCTACATTGGCAGGTTCCAAGGCAGAAAACGAAGCAGCTGCAGTGCCACCAGCATCACTGGCACCAGAACCACCAGACGAGACACTGGAGTCAACGGCCAAAGAAGCTCTACTCCGGGCCAAAGCAGACGCAGCTGCTGCCACCGCTGCTGCCTCTGCCGCCTCGGCTGCTGCTGCTCCCGCCGCTGCTGCCGCCGCTGCCGATTCCGCTGATTCAGCCGCTGCTACAGCTGTGCCGTATCCACCCCCACCGGCTTCTAGATCTTGTCGCTCCCCACCTTTACTATCCCCTCCTGGACCTCCGTTAGTGTAAGTATCAATGGCTAAGTCATGTGCTTTAGCCACTGCAGCAGCTTTGGCAAGCTCGTCTTTCGTGGGCTGGTATGTGGCAGTTGATATGGGGCGGAGGGCGAGGAGTGCGAGAGTGATGAGGTAGAGGAGGAGAAGCAGGGATGCTAGAACGGTGAAGAGGATTCGGATGAGGTTGGATTCGGTGGAGGGGGGTGAGGAGGGTTTGAGGTAGAGCAAGTCAACGCAGGTCCAGATGATGAGAGAGGCGTTTGCTAGGATGATGAGAGTGCCCACAATGGAGGCGGCAATGGTTGTCTGGTAGTGGGGTTCAAGGGGGGAGTTTGTGGGAAGAATGGGCGGCGGAAAATGGAAGGAAGGGAACGTGGGTTGGTGTTGGAAGTGGGAGGTAGAGAAGTAGAGTGAGGGTAAGTGAGCAAAGAAGTGGAACAGAGACGAGGAGGAAGAAGAGCGGGAGACGAGGGGGTGAAAGTGGCAGGGCGAATTGGAGTGCAAGGCGAGGTTTGGGGGGGCGAAAATCATACCCATGTATGTGTAGCGAACATGCCCATTTTGAGAGTGGTGCTGGTGAATTTGAGCAGGGGGATGAGGGCGAAGGGGAGGCCAAATGATGACACAATCTGGAGGGTGGAGATATGAGGGGAGAAAGCGCAGGGGAGGCGCAGGAAAGGGGTCAAAGAGGTCTCGAAATGGAAGCTACTCTTCGAGAGTGGTGCTGGTGAACTTGAGCAAGGTAGATGAGGGCGAATGGCAGGCGGAAGAACGACACAATCTGGTGGGTGGAAATAGAGGGGAGATAACACACGGGAGGCGCAGCAAAGGGGTCAAAGAGGTCTCGAAATGGAAGCTACTCCTCGAAAGTGGTGTTGGTGAACTTGAGCAAGGGGGTGAGGACGAAGGGCAGGCCAAAGGATGACACAATTTGGGTTGCGGGGAGACAGGTGAGGAGGGGAAGCAAAAGGGTTAGAGGGGCCAAAGAGGAGAGCGGGGGAAGAAAAGAAAAGAAAAGGTTAAAATTCGCCATTAGGGGCTTGTTCTCCAAAATGCTTGTTCCTAATTAAAACAAAGGAAATGTGAGGTCGTTTGCAATCACTTTGATTGCCGGTGTGCTCTTACCGCCGCGCACTGCACCATGTGCTTGTATTGACAGTGTGCGCTCACTGAGCAGAGGATGATGAGAAGGCTGGCTCCATGGGCTCCGAAGAGGAGAGCGCGCTATGAAGTTATGCAGCCATTACAAGCGCTGCACCTCCTGCTCTAACCACACACTGCATCGCCTGCTCTTACCGAGCAGAGGATGATGAGGAGGCTTGCTCCCTGTGCTCCAAAGAGGAGAGCCACGAGCAGCGCCGGCACAATGGCAACAGAGTGCGTGATGAGGTTATGCAGGCACGTGCTGTCACCCTTACAAGCGCTGCAACTTGTTCCTTTATAGACCTTCTGGTCTTACCGAGCAGAGGATGATGAGAAGGCTTGCCCCCTGAGCCCCGAAGAGGAGAGCCACGAGCAGCGCTGGCACAATGGCAACGGAGCGCGTGATGAGGTTGCGCAACCACGTGCTTATACGGAGCTCGATGAAGCCCTGTAACGAGGATGGACGGGAGAGGGGGGGTGAGGGCGGGAAAGAGGAAAGATTCGCCGCTTGATCAATGGAGAATGAGGGCGAGGAGAGAGGAATGAGGAGAGAAGTGGTGAAAGCGAGGAGCAAAGGATGAGAAAGCGGGGATACAGAGAGAATAAAATGAGGAGACCGGGTATAAGAGAGGCCCGATGGCGGAGTACTGGCCATCACTTGACCTCACCTGCATCACATACTGCCCGGCGTACGTTCCAGTAACCCTGCTGCTCTGCTCTGTCCTAACACCAGCAGCTGTTTTAATCTGACATCAGCACTTTTTGAGGCGCTGCAAGATTGTTTACCTGCATGCCAGTAACCGTGCTGCTCTGCCCTGCTGCCAGCCCCTTTCGAGGCGCTGCAAGAGCTTTACCCGTATGACATACTGTCTAACCGCACCTGCATCACGTATTGCCCAGCCTATTGCTTCACCCCACCTGCATCACGTATTGCCCGGCGTACGTTCCAGTAACCGTGCTGCTCTGCCCTGCTGCCAGCAGTGCCACTCCAAACAGCGTCCCTGCCCATCCTCCCAGCACGTCCTGAGGGGGAGTGAGGGACAGAGAGGAGTGGGAGGTACGGGAGTAAGAAGATGCAATGAGAGGCGAAGAAGTGGGAGAAAAAGAGATGATGCTATGATTATTTGTGTTCCATTGTTGCACCCTTTTCCCTGGCATCCTTAACCGCTATCTGTGCGCCAGCTCACGGGTGTGAGCAACTCGTGAGCGTTCCTGATGCTGATGCTGATGCTGATGCTGATGCTATGCTGATGCTGATGCTGATGCTATGCTGATGCTGATGCTGATGCTGATGCTGATGCTGATGCTCTGATGCTGATGCTGATGCTGATGCTGATGCTGATATGCTGATGCTGATATGCTGATGCTGATGCTGACGCTGATGCTGATGCTGATATGCTGATGCTGATATGCTGATGCTGATGCTGACGCTGACGCTGACGCTGACGCTGACGCTGTTGCTGATGCTGTTGCTGTTGCTGTTGCTGTTGCTGATGCTGATGCTGATGCTGATCCTGATGCTGATGCTGATGCTGATGCTGATGCTGATGCTGATGCTGATGCTCGTGTTGATGCTGATCTCAACTCCCTCGCATACATCCTTGAAGATACACACTCTGCCTTCACATTTGAGGCGCCTCAGAAAGTCGCCTCAAAAGTCGCCTCAAAAGTCGCCTCAAAAGTTTTGAGGCGCCTCAAAAGTCCTCTTATACATCCTTGAAGAAACACACTCTGCCTTCACCTCACCCCTTGTATAGGCCTCACCGTGAGCAGCACGTGCGCGTTGCTGATGCTGATGCTGATGCTGACGTTGATCTCAGCTCCCTCTTATACATCCCCTCTTATACATCCTTGAAGATACACACTCTGCCTTCACCTCACCCCTTGTATAACCCTCACCGTGAGCAGCACGTAAGCGTTGCTGATGCTGATGCTGATGCTGATGCTGATGCTGGCACACGCTTCAGCCAAAACTCACATGCCCCTCAAAGTGCGCCCACAACACGCTAGCCCATCAGCCCGCTCGCCTCACACCACCTGCATATGCCTCACCGTGAGCAGCACGTAAGCGTTGCTGATGCTGATGTTGGCACACGCTTCAGCGGCGCCGGGCGGCAGACTGGCGGAGTGACAGACGGCGCCGGCCACAGAGATGATTGCCACGTTGATCATTACGCTGATCAGCAGCGCCAAGAAGAGTTCTAAGAATGAGTAATGGCTGGCGGTCTGAGGGGTGGAAAGCGGTTCAGAGGGTGATAGGAGGGGTACAGGTGTTGACTATTGGCACAGAGATGATTGCTACGTTGATCATGACGCTGATCAGCAGCGCTAAGAAGAGTTCTAAGAATGAGTAATGGCTGGCGGTCTGAGGGGTGGGAAGCGGTTCAGAGGGTGATAGGAGAGGGACAGGAGCTGATGATTGGCACATTGCCACAGCAATGATTGCCACGTTGATGACCACGCTAATCAGCAGCGCCAAGGCAAGCTCTAGGAAAGAGTAATGGCTGGCGGTCTGAGGGGTGAGGGAAGGGGTGGGGGAAGAGGGGGAGGGGAAGGGGTTTGGTAGCGTGGGGCGATGGGACAAGCGTTGATGCCAACGCTGTTGAGCAACGGGGTTTTGCACATACGTACTGGGTGATATGCCTTGAATCCTTGATTGCTTCGGCATAAAGCAATGGTAATCTGCCTTAATTCCCCTCTGCCAACTACCTTACTAGCTGGTGCTTTCCTGTAATAACATAGGTGTTCACCCTAGTAGCATGAGAGGTTCAACCTATAAACATGGGTGGTTTACCCTGATAGCTCGCGTGGTGCCCGCGTGTTTGCGGCTGAGAACAATGGCGGAGTGAAGGAAGAGATTGTGCCTGGGGGGGGGGAGGGGAGAGTGGGAGGCATGGTTGGAGAGAGGTGAGGGGGAGAGAAGAGCAGGGGGGGAAGTGGTTTTTTGAGACGACTCCAAGCTGCGTGCTTGCGGGTGAGAACAATGGCGGAGTGAAGGTAGAGATTGTGCCTGGAGGGAGATGGGGGAGGGGCGGGCGAGTAAGATTGTGCTTGCAGCTGAGAACGGGTGGTGCCCGCGTGCTTGCGGCTGAGAACGATGGCAGAGTGCAGCAAGAGATTGTGCCTTGGGGGTGGGGGGGGTGGAGTGGGAGGCATGGTTGGAGAGAGGTGAGGGGGAGAGAAGAGCAGGGGGGGAAGTGGGTTTTGAGACGACTTCAAGCTGCGTGCTTGCGGCTGCGAACACTGGCGGAGTGAAGGTAGAGATTGTGCCTGGAGGGAGACAGGGGAGGGGGAGAGAAGAGCAGCGGGTTTTGAGACGACTCCAAACTGCGTGGTTGCGGCTGAGAACGATGGCGGAGTGAAGGAAGAGATTGTGCCTGGGAAGGGGGAGAGGAGAAGGGGGGAGGGGAGGCAGGGCAAGCGATGTTGTTCGTGGCAGGATGCATGGTTGGTGACGGGAGAAGGGGAAGGCGAGAGATCGGGGGAGCAGAGCAGGAAAGATGATTTTTGAGGCGCCTCAAAAATGGAGAGCGGGAGGGGAGCAGGGGTGGGGGCGAGAGAGTCTGTGCGTGGCAGGATAGGAGGCACGGTTGGTGACAGGAGAAGGGGAAGGCGAGAGATCGGGGCAGCAGAGCAGGAAAGATGTTGCACATGGTGGTTTGGGGTTGGGATAGAAACGGACCAGATGCAGAACAGAGAGAAGGGGACGAGACTGTGCAACGCATGCAAGGTGAACAGCAAAAGGCCGTGTGTGTGTGTTGGAAGGGGGTGGGGGTGGGACGATGGGGTGGGGGTTGGGACGATGGGATGGGGAGTTTGTAAGGGGGGGAGGGTGGCGGTATGGCAAGGGAAAGTGGAGAGATGTCGCTAACTACGGCATGACAATGCATCTGCTAACTCACGGCATGACAGTGGCCCCAAGGATTGAGATGGCGACCGCGAGTGCTCCCACATTTTGCAGCTGTCAGGTAAGGATGGGCGGGGGAAGTGGAGGATTGGATTTTTGAGACGTCTCAACAGGTTACACATCGCTTTGAGTTTGGCACATGGCTGCGCATAGTCGGCGATGCGGCCAGTGAATATCTTTTGCCAAATGTGCTGCTGCCACGTGTGCTGCTGCCATTGGTGCTTTTTAAAGGGGCCTCAAAAGTCGGCGATGCGGCCAGTGAATATCTTTTGCCAAATGTGCTGCTGCCGTTGGTGCTTTTTTTAGGCACCTCGAAAGTCGGGGTGCGGCGGCCAGTGGTCATCTGTTGTCACTGGTGCTGCTGCCACTGGTGCTGCCTGCCATGTATGCATGTAGCATACTCCTTCTAAGCGCATAAGCTCTTTGAGCACAAGAGCCACCGGAAGCATTCTTCTTCCACCTGAGGCCACCCGAGCTTCTAGTCTCACCTGAAACACCTGATTGCACTAAAGGCACCACCTGCACCACCTGAATACTCACCTGAGGCATCTGATTGCTCACCTGAGGCATCTGATTTCTCACCTGAGGCATCTGATTGCTCACCTGAGGCATCTGATTTCTCACCTGAGGCACGACCATGCCCTTGAAGAGTTCTCCCACGTCTGACAGCTGTAGCGCCTTGACCATCTCCGCTATAAAGCACCCCGCTATAAGCAGCACCATTAGCGCCATTATCGTTTCCAGAGGCCGCGCCTGTAAGGCGGAAGGGGGAGAGAGGGGGGGAGGTTAGGGGAGCGGAAGGAAGACTGAACTGCGAGTAATGAGCCAATTTTCTTAGCGTTTCAAACACCAGTAGAAAGGGAAGGGAAGGACGGTTTCTTGCAGTTGTTGTCGCATCGACTCCCCATCCAGACATCGCAGGGGACCACCATCCAGTAGTTCCTCAGACGATACGTCATCAGATGAGACGTATAGGGTTTGTTACCAGTCTTGTGCTGTGGCTGAATCTGAACAAGTCGAACGAATGTCGAAAGCTGGTTCCGGCGGAGAAGGAGCACTGCACTCACCCCGAATCTCTCTCGAGGGCAAGGAGCAAATTCTATCTTCTAGGCGCCTAAAAAATGGAGTTCTGAAAGAGAGCTCTGCACTCACCCCGAATCTCTCGAGAGCAAGGAGCAGCAGGGCGCTGCAACCCGTTATAAGCACACCGGCCCACAGGGGGATGCGGAAGAGAAGGTTAAGCGCGATGGCTGTACCCACCACTGGAGGGAGGAGAGAAAGGGGATGGGGGAGGGAAAGGTACGGGGAGGTAGGGGGGAGGAGAGAGGCGTGAAGGAACCGAGAGGTTGAGAGTGATGGCTGTGCCCACCACTGCAGGGAGGAGAGACGAAGAGGGAGAGAGGAAAGGGCGGGTGAATCAGGGAGGTGGTATGAAACATTAAGAGGAGGTTAAGAACGGTGGCTGTGCCCACCACTGGAGGGAGGAGAGACGGGAAGGAGAGCGGTTTCGTGAAGGATCAAACTGAATCATATACTGCGGAGCGGATCAACCGTCGAGTTCACCTCACCTTGGGGAATGTCGCTGGCGATGACGTTGATCTCTGCTATGATCCACAGCACCACGTTGAGACCCGAGGGGTGCTCCAGACGACAGTGCTGCGTTGACTTTTGAGTCAACTCAAAAGTCACAGACTGCGGACTAGGCAGGAAGGTCACCTTGGGGAATGTCGCTGGCGATGACGTTGTTAATCTCTGCAATGACTGTTGGGTTTGGGACGTCTGACAAGTCGAGAAGGATCAAACTGAATCATCAACTGCGGAATACGCATGAAGGTCACCTTGGGGAATGTCGCTGGCGATGACATTGATCTCTGCTATGACCCACAGCACCACGTTGAGACCCGAAGGGTACTCCAGGCGGCAGTGCTGCGCCAGATGCTTGCCTGGCGTGCCACAGGGAGCAGAGGGAACGCCGACAAATATCCAGCAAGGGATAGAGGAACAAGGAAGGAAAACGAGAGGAGAAGTGGGGCATCAATAACAAAGGGGAGGTTACTACAGCTGGAAATGCTGGCCTGTGTGCTTCCTTGGAGAGCCAAATGGTACTGATGTGACCAGTAACGGTGGTACGTCTGAGTTGGTACATGATTTGACCGGGAAGATGTGAGGATGGCAGCGTGGCTTACCTGTGACAATCCCGAGGGTAGCTGCCTACCTGTGACAATGCCGGGTAGCTGCCTACCTGTGACAATGCCGAGGGTAGCTGCCTACCTGTGACAATCCCGAGGTTAGCTGAGAGTGACTGTATGAAGAGGCCTGCTATTGAGGCGAGCAGCAGAGCCCAGAGGAGCTGTAAGGAGGAGAGGAGAGAGAGAAGAAGGAGCACATGATGTATATCATTGCTTAGCCGGCGAGTTGACTTTTGAGTCGACTCAAAAGTCAGAGGAGCTGTAAGGAGGAGAGGAGAGAGAGAAGAAGGAGCACATGATGTATATCATTGCTTAGCCGGCGCCGAATAACGATCGTTTGGCCCGAATGGAAACAGCAGGCGCATTGAGAATAAAGAGCTCGAAAGGGAGTGTGTAGCTGTCTGGAACCTGAGCTCTGATTCAACTCAGATTATCTCTATCCACCTTGCTTTCTCGTTTTTCATTTCATGCACTATCGGTTCCTTACCCTTCATTCCCCTCCCACTCTTCCAGCCACCTTTCCCCTTCCGTCCTCTTCCCCCCTCACCTCCCCCACCCCTCCGATTTCTTCTCACCTCAGCCTTTTTCACATTTCCATCCATCCACTTTCTCCGCACTCAGCCATCCCCTCCAGCCTCTCTTTAACCCAGCCATTCTCCTCTCCTCCTCCCTTCCACTTTCTCTCCGCCCAAGTCATTCTCACCGTGAATTTGTATGCAGCCCCCGCCTTCAAATCGCTCTCGACTGAAACAGGGATCAGTTTATAGCGGGGAAGAACGCGAGGCATAGCAGGATGCGATTATTTTGGCAGGTGTCATGAATCGCGCTTGCGTCTGCTAGCTTGCTTGGTATAGTGTGGCATGGGGGAAAAGGGGAGGCGCCTGGACGAGACGCCAGGAAGGGGTGGGCTGGGAAGATCGGGGGTATTGAAGTGGATGCTTCAACAGGAAACTTGAGGTGATTAGGATTAGTACGAGTAGACTTACAGTTACCGGGGTCGATGTAAGCTACGGCGACAAGAAAGCCTGGGCCCACATATGACCAGCACTGACGCCACCCTTTGCCCTGTAGTCACAACAACATCGACAGGAGGTTAGTCAGATATGCAAGTCTCACACCACGTCTCGCATTTTGAGATGTGTGTCTTAATCAAATCTGGACCCACATACGCCCTGAACTGAAGACGACACCACCCCTTGCCCTACGGTCCCAACAACATCGACAGCCGGAAGTGAAAGGCGAGAACGTTGGGGGCCCACAGGCTGCGATGGGACGAAAGAGGAATGACATTACCAGGCTGCCGGCTACTCAGTCTCCCAATCTGCAATCTGAAATGCAATATGAAATCTGCACCCTCTTGAAAAAACGAACGATCTTTTCTACGCTCCACCGACTACTTTATCGATACCGTTGGTCCTACCATCGCCTCCAATCGGGTGCATCACGAAACGCCTCAACGTGGTCTTACATGAAGGGATGAGATGCACGCTTAGTACAGCCGTTGCTCTCACCTCAGGCACTATCACTTTCCGCGATGATTCCCCCTCCCCATTCCCCGGCTGTTGTGGCACGTCAGAACCCCTCGACACGGGCCCCATTGAATAAACTGGAACTCCTTTTTCGGAAGGATTGGGTATTTCACGCAGGAAAGTTGTGGACTGCGGTGTCCTATTTAGTTCTATTCTACTCTTCCACACCGCAATAAGTTATCTGACGAAGTGATATTCAAGACCAAGCAGTACGTTGCACGCGCATGGAAAAAAAAGAAACATCGGGGCCTTGTATGGCCGCTTTGTTCATTGCCATGTCACATTGTCCGCTCCAGCCAGCATCGTTATTTACAAGAGTACCGGCAGGAGACCTGCTAAATACGTTTACGATGAGGACCTGCTATAATTAGTGAATGCTGTTCTGAAACAACTAAGGATGCTAGACGACTAGCACGAGGCAGAAGAGACAGGCCGGAAAAAAGGCTCAGATGTGTGAAAGGGATCTCGGGAGACTAGCTTGGAGGTGTCACAACAAACTCGGTATCCCTTGGGAGTCACAACCTAGAGCGACCAAGCTCAGCAGTTCTCGAGGCTTGCTGGGCAGCAGCAGGTCCTCTGGAAATGTACACAATTATTTGTGCTCACGGTGCGAGCCCATGTAGATCGTCGTCGTGACGCGTTCCTTCCAATCCCAGTTTGAGCATCCCAGTTTTGGAATCCAGTGTCCGCAAGTGGCGCTACACCGAGCCCAAGTAACACTAAAACATTTCGTGGACTTTCGCGAAACCAGAGCGCCTCAACAACGTGCGACGAGTAGATGTGTACATGCGCGACTGGCTGCTATTGTCAGTAGCGAAAAAAGGTCAGTAGCGAGTACGTGGATTTGCAAATACAAGCATGAGCTTACAGGTATTCAGCACTACCATAAGTCTTTCTTCTCTACAAGACATTTGCTATGAACATATCTATTGCTTGTATGGTTTCGGAGGTGTTCGTTCCTTTGTGTCACGTCCAGTTGTTAAAGGATTTTCTCTTGCCCATACCACACCTGCTTGTGGTGAATCCCTGATCCCTTCGGCGGCGCTTGGCCGCAAGATAACCCTCAAGTCGTGGAGGCGATCTGCAATCGCTTCGATAGTTTGTGGTCTTGAGGAGCATGTGGTGGTTTGCCGTGAGATGGCGACGCCAAGACGATCATTGGCTTTGCATCCGTGCAGTTTCCTGCCTTTCCGCCTTGTTTTTGGGGATTGTCAGGGGCATTGGATATTTGGGTTTTCAGCTTAGCGGGGACAGGTATCCCGACGCCTCCGCTTTCAGGGAACGGGTTTCGCTTCCTGCGGACAGTTTCCGCAAAAGGCTGGGCTAGGGGGGGACAGTTATCGTTCAGGTTAGGGAGTCGAGCTCTCAATGAGCCACGTGTCTCACTTTTCACAGAGAGTTCACTGTAGGTGTTAAATCACAGATTCCCTACTGCTCAGGCTTGTCGTTTCGACCCAAAATATTTCACGCGGAAGAGTCGTTTAGCTAGCCCATTTGCGCTAGCGGCGCTAAACGACGCTACCGGGAACAATAAGGACAGGGCATAAAAAATTAGCCCCTAGGGAACCCTGACGCATTTTTGGGAGGGATCAACCCTAAACACGGGAAAGGGCATTGATTTTAGGGTTGATGCCTCCCCGAGTCGCATCCCTTTCCGATTGGGTTTTAGTTTTTTTGGGTCAGGGTATGCAATATATATTCCCACATTTTCTCAGGGTGTCGGGTGCAATACACAGGTTTGGGAACAACGGTTCGACCAGCCACCCCGAACGTGGGCTGGATTCGGTGCAAAAGACAAGCATGCGCAGTGCAGAATCTGTACAGTGAGCGAGCTGTGAAGGATGAAACACGTGGCTCATTGAGAGCTCGAGTCCCTTACCTGAACGATAACTGTCCCCCCCTAGCCCAGCCTTTTGCGGAAACTGTTCGCAGGATGCGAAACCCGTCCCCTGAAAGCGGAGGGGTCGGGATACATGTCCCCGCTAAGCTGAAAACCCTGGATATTTCCATTCTACAGTACTTCTTCGGGACCACCATTCTCCGGTATATCACCACCACCACCACAAATCAGGAAACACTTTGCCGTGGATAAAACGCTTAGTCGTGGCTTCCAAGGGTTGGAGGCCCTCATGCCACGCAAGCTTCCTTGGAGATGGCTCACGTCGCGGAGTGGTGACGCATTTTAGGGGAGCTTGTCGCTGGCAGCTGAAAACCATAGCCACGGATATGGTTAGCCGCGACACGATTAAATGCGCTCTAACAGGTCCACCTCCTCATCCGATCACAGCCACATGTGTTGTGGATAAACAGTCGCGCCGCTTACTCGGCCGATGAGTTCTAGATTGGAGCTTCTAGATTGGTGCGATTGTGCTAGCCCACAGTGTTAGCTACAAAAATGTTTCAAATCGAGCCCATGCTACCCTGCCTCCAAACGTGTTTCCTTTTCAAGCCCATGCTACCCATGCTATGCCGCATGGTAATGTCAAGCATGTTGCTGCCAAAGTTTAGGCGTCTTAACCGTTTAGTATGAACAGCTCCACCTGCAATATCGGGGTGTTGAAAGACCTAAGCGGAACAAGATAGAACGTGCTCGGTTTGTTGGCCGTACAGCATACGCGCTTTATTCATTACAACATCCGACCCTTTGGAAAAGTCCGACCGAATTTTGCCCTGCAACTTCCTCGGATGGTACTTCCTCTTTTTGATCTCAAGTTAGGCATAGCCTGGTAAATGCAGACCATATACAACACTACTCACGCAAAGAGCCTAAAATTTCTGTACCAAAACGCCCAAAGTTAGAAGATCATATCGGATATTGAGGGACTCGATCGTTTCCAGTGGCAAAGCAGGGCAGCCCGCAAATCGTAAAGCAGGAGGATGTGTGATTTTTGTTTCACCTTCGTGGAATTCCAAGTTCTGCGACACACATACTTTGGGTATGAACATTCTCTAGGTCAACTCGGTTTCTGCAAAACCACCCTTCTGGATCATAAACAAAAGGGTAGGCACCCTTGAAGAAAATTACGTGAGAATGGCCACTAGTTATGACTGTCGTCGCGCCATTAATTCTATCCACTTCTTGTGTGTGAGGCAGGGGAAGGCTCACTGTTTCACAGCCGTGCGTTCCCACCTCGCACCAACCACACCCAGATTTCCCCTGCGTGGAGCAGCATTTTCACCGTTTCGCCAGTTTAGCCGTTGAAGCCACAATCGTTCTTGTTGCTTCTGCTCTGCTGGTTGTTTCAGTTGTTCACTCAAACCCTCATCTACCCCAGTTCCACCAACCCTGACCTTAGAAAATCAACCCTGCTCAACTTCCCTGTCTGCTCTAACAACTAGCTACTTGAGCAACAAAAGCAAGGCTTTTTTAGCAGCTCCCCAAGCTTCAATTTAGAGACTTCCACTATGGCTGTTGCCTTGACCAGTTCATACATGTGCGAAGACTTTACCTCAGAGCCCGTGAGTTTCCGTCAAGCGTCATACCCCGACTTTATCGACAGCTGCTCCGCAGCAGCATCTGCCCAGCCTCTCTCACCGGCTTCACAATCTTCCATTTCACACGCCGACTTCCACGACCACCACCAACAGCAGCAACCATCATCGACCCCCAAACTCCACCTTTCCCGACAATCGTCCGGCCGCCAACAACAAAGCCATAGCAACCATGGTCAATCCTTCCGTTCGCTCCCTTGCATCCGGTCCGGAGTCACAGTCCATCCCGTCAGGAAGAACGGCCACGTAACCCTAATGGAGATCCGAACTATTTCCCCTGTCGCCATCCGCTGCGTCCGGCAAAACGGCCGTCTCATGGAGAAGACCCATCGCGGACCTTCTATGTCACCATCGGGACGCCTCACGCCCAGCGGTTCCATTCGGTCTCCAACTTCGGAGTTAAGCCCTCCATCGTCGGCTTCGAGCTCTCGCCGTTTCTCTGGATCGTACTCGTCACTGGATGCGTCGGTTAACGGCAGCGCGTGTTCGAGTCCATCCAGGTCTCCGTTCGAGCCGTCGTTGAGGAAGGCGGTGAGCGGAAGCAGCTCAGTTCCTGCTGTGACACTGACGACTGCACCTCGTAACCTGTCTCGGTCGCAGACTCTTCCGAGAGATTTCGACCAGGTTACTGTCGCTCGCTGATACAGCATGACAGTCTGAAGGCATCTGGCTACTGGACATGCAATAATTGTTACCGCATGACGTGCGTAAACTTTCTCTGATGAGACAGACAGCGAGCAGCTCGTGCGTCGTCCACCGCGGCTTCGCGAGAGTGTTACATCGTCACCATGTCCGTGCGTGGAATTTTCTGCTATGCTGTGCGAATCTGACGCCGTTTTCGCCTTAAGCAGGCACCTGATTGGTGACTGTTGACGTGTACAGGGCCTGCTCTAGGCTTTATGATGAGTAGTATGACTGCAGACACCTGTGCCTTGGTGCATAGGGCGCTGCGATTTTTTTGGGCCATCCACCAGCGCAGGGTGCTGCCATGGTTGATGTGCCTCCTAACTAGCTGGTGTCAAGATGTGTTGTTTTAGTTGGAATATATGCTGAGAAATTTTCCACTTTGCACAAAAATAATCGGTGCCTGTTGAGGTAAACAATTAGCTTATTATAATACTGTATTTCTCAGCCCAACAGTGCCTATTCTCAAACTCAATCAGGTAGGGTAGTATACTACTAATATGATCTAAAAAATGCTGGACAGTCAATGCTGAATCCTGAAAGTTCACGGATTCGGTATTAGAACTGCTACTAAACACCTGCAGGTATTGGCTGCAGTCAGTGTTCGCAAAGCAGGTTTTCGCATCACCAGAGATGGAGGGCGGGGAGACGATTACAATGTCTGCTATGAACCCTTCGCATTTTTCTCAGTCAGCCCACGATTTTCGATTATGGAGCACCCACTGATCCGCATCCGACGGTCGACAGAGGGGTCAGGCAATGAAACGCGAGTGCTGAACGGTGCGCCTAGCACTTCATCGCATTCAAAGCCGGCTGCTGGGGAGCTTGCACGTCGTGCATTCCCTTTCTGCCGAAGCGCTGCTGTGTGTTTGTTAACGCGTGAGTAGTACCGTCACGTCGTTTGACGTTCAATCTTTGAATATTTCTCAGAGATTGGCCGTTTCTTGCAGTTATCATATGGAGCCTGCGCACAACATTATTTTCTCATCGCTTCAGTCATTCGCAAGAACCTCAGGCTGTGCAAGACTGGAAGGGGGAGCTGACGGCAATCACGCTACCAGAAGGTCGAATACTGGCTATTTTCCAAATAAACAGCAACGACTGCTTCGACGAGAAAATTGCCGACCGCCAGATTAGTTTTGGGAAATGCGGATTCATTTCCTCGCCAGGAGAAACTTCGTGGATCAACGCGACATTCGTATACTTCGCCGACCACGCCATCCATGCAATTTGCCCGCATGCTAACGGAACGGATGGTTCCGTCGAGCCTAGTCTGCTGCGGATCTATTACGACACGCACAGCGTAGATCTGCTCGTGCGGAAGCTTCATCAGGCGTCCTGGGATGGGCTAGTTTATGCTGCAGCAGCTGAACCCGAAGGCCTATATGTCTGGGCGAAAGGCATTGTTAACGTTCACAACAAAAGTCTTCACGGTCAGGTCAAGTGCCTGGTGGACGGAGTTGAGACCGCTCCCTTAATGCTCTCCCAGGAGATCGCACTCTGCCCGATTGCTCAAGCCAACGTAACACGTTCAGCATGTGGCTGTCTCAACACTCCAGTCACACTATCAGTGCGTGGAGCACCTTTGCCCTCTGTGGCTTCCGTCTGTAGGCCCAATTCCGCACTCGAATCTACCAGCTTAGAATCTGGTGAGCCACCACAGGCAGCCAACCACAGTCACGCCAGCCGAAGCATCCGCCTCGTTCTTCAAAACGGGTATTTCCATACCAGCACATCCAGTGGCGATCAACCGATGAAGCAGCACTACCTGTGTGCATGCACAATGGTCCTTGACAGCGCGAAGTTTATGGGGGAGTGGCTGCTGTACCACGGATTTCTTGGTGTGGAGCATTTCTTTGTGTATGACAACGGCAGTGAAGACGGGCTTCGGGAGTCCATTAAAGAAGCTCAGGGGACGGGCCATGCAAGAGGCTTTGATATTTCAGCCACTATATGCAGCTGGCCCTGGATCAAGTCTCAGGAAGGCTGTTTTTCTCATTGTGCTCTACAAGCCAAGAAGCTCTGCACGTGGGTCATGTTCATTGACGTGGACGAGTTTGTCTTTCCGGCACAAATGGTGAAGGAAATCGAGTCACAGAAGCTCCCTGCAGCTGGAAGTCAGTATGCTTTTCTTCTTCCCAAGTTTGTGAAAAGTATGGCCAAGAAGCATGCTGCAGCAGCAATGGCCACAGGTAGAAACGATTCGTGTCAAAAGGTTGGCCAGATTGTTCTGCCCTGCCTCTTATTTGGCCCATCAGGTCACCAAGAGCACCCAGAAAAGGGAGTTACATCTGGGTACACGTGCAGGCTGGAGTTTCCCAATCACCACAAGTCACTAATCCTGACTGAAGCCATAGCTCCTCCACTACACAACGTGATACATCACTTCACAAGCTTGGAGCATCAATATTGCAGATTGAATGTGTGGCATACGCAGGGAGCTATTTTCCACTACAAGTTCCAAGCGTGGCCCGAATTCAAGACCAAGTTCAGGAGGAGAGCTTCCACTTTTGTTGCTGACTGGACACAGATGGATAGAATGCAATCCAAGGATCGGGTTCCTGACTTGGGTGTTGAGGCAATCAAGCCTGCTGATTGGAAGGATCGCTACTGTGGGACAGAAGATTACAGGTTGAAGAGAATTTCGGCACAAATTGCATCAGCCACTTCCCGCTGGCCCTTTGAGAACGCAGTGAATGCTATGCGCCACACCTTAGAGAATTTGTTTTCCGCATGTGGACTTGTCTGATTACCGTACCTGTGCAGTATCTACAGTGTATAACGGGCAAAACGTCAAGAAAAACGAATCTGCACCATGATTTGAATCTCAGAACTCAAGGTCATCCTCTACCACAATCTCAGGCAACGGGCCATCAGAGTCAGAATCAAATCCAGTTGACGCAGCACCACCAGATGCATCCCTCCCTTTCCCACCCCCCCCACCACCACCAGCAGCAGCAGCACCAGCACCACCACCGGCAGCACCAGCACTAGCAGCAGCACCAGCACCACCAGCACCAGCACCACCAGCACCAGCACCAGCGGCAGCATTACCTGCTCCAGCACCAGCTGCAGAACCAGCTTGCCCTTCTTGTCCTGATGCTGTAACACCCGAACCTGGAGTTCCAACACCTCCAACACCCAAACCTGGAGTTCCCGAACCTCCAGTCCCCAGGTAGCCAGACTCCTGTAGCATGCGAGCCATAGCAGCAGCCTTGGTTCGGGACTCCCTCGCCCTCCTAGCAGCCTCCAGCCCAGCAGCATCTGCCTCCTCCACAGTGGTTACCACCTTCCTTGCCCCGTAACCATGCGAACCTGCGGATGCCGAACCTGCTAGCGCCGAACCTCCTCCGGTCCGAGCCTGCTCTTTGGCCTGCCTCCCTGTTCCCGATCCGCCTGTCGACCCACCTGCACCAGCAGCACCAGAAGCACCAGCACCAGAAGCACCGGCAGCACCGGCACCAGCAGCAGCACCACCTGTAGTACCTTGATCGTTTTTAGTAGCTCCTCTCCTGCTCTTCACCAGCAGAACCACTGCTGCCAGCAGGTGCAGCAGACGCAGAGGGGGAAGCACCAGCGGAGGCGGACGGGGAGGAGGGGTCATTGGCACTAAGGAACCGAGCCACAGCCGGTGCAAGTGTCTTGATGAAAATCTCCTTTCCCACATCTCTACGCTTCCCTCCCTTCTCTGCTCCTCCCGCTCCTCCGCCTGCTCCTGCTGCTGCCCCCTTCCCTCGCTGATTCGCCCCTCCTCTCCCTCGCCCCCCACCTCCTTTGTCGCTCTGTGATGAAACAGCAGGTGCTGCAGCCGCTCCTGCTGCTGCTTCTTGTTGTGATGCTGCTGCTGCTGCAGCAGCAGGAGGAGCAGCAGGAGGAGGAGCAGGAGGAGGGGCCATGGGCACGGCAGGACCAGCAACAGGAACGGCAGTGCCCTCAGTATCCATAGGCATGGCTGCTGCTTGCCCCTCCATGGACTCTAATCCACCCGATGATCCCAAGGCTGCTCCAGTCGCCGCCTGTCCTAGAGCAGCGACAGTGTTACCTCCCCCTGCGGTAACACCTGCCCCGGCCCCACCAGTACCACCTGCCCCAGGTGCGCCTCCCCCAATCTCCATCAGCTCGTGCCCGAACGTGCCATACCCATCTACTTCGGTCCACAGGTCCGCTAACGGCCAAACATCGCCGCCCAGCACTCCAAGCCCCGTGGCACCACCACCCATTCCGCCTCCCATGCCGCCATCCATCCCCCCTCCCATCCCCCTGCCCATCCCTCCGCCCATCCCTCCGCCCATCCCCCCTCCCATTCCCCCACCCATTCCCCCACCCATTCCCCCTGCAAACCCTCCACCCCCGCCCCCAGCTGATCCAGCACCCACTCCTCCAAGCATCCCCCCATACGCCCCCACTCCACCTCCTCCCCCTATCCCTCCGCCATCCCCCATCCCCTCAGCACCCCCTCCCACGGCTGCAGAAAGATTCATGGCCATAGAGCCAGGGACAGGCAGCGGGGCGGCAGCAGGGGCGGCGAGAGGCGTCTGGGCGGCAGGCAGCAGGAGACTGCCGGAACTGGCCGGCAAAGAGGATGGCCGGCTGGCAGAAGGGGCCGGCGAGCCGCTCAGATTCTGCTGCTGCTGCTGCAAATTCTCCTGTTGCAACTGTTCCTGCTGCTGCAACTGCTGTTGCTGCATATGCTGCTGCTGCTGCTGCTGCTGCTGTGGGTTCGGCGGGGGTTGCGACGGGACGAGCAGAGACGAGAGCGGGTGGATGGAGGAGGAATGGGGCAGGCACCTAAAATGCAACACCAGCTCTAAAGCTAGCAGAGCAAAGGAGCAGAAAGCAGCTACCTCCGTCCCCAGTTGCTGCCTCCCCTGCCGGAAAATTCTAAGAGCTTGGCCAAGGTACGGTGGGCGGTATTTGCACGGGGCTAGGAGGGAGGCTAGGAGCGCACGAGATGCTGCCAGCTGGAGCGATCTGATTGCACGGTCGGACCCAGGCGTCCAGGGCATGTGCGCGTGGGTGTTGGAGGAGTTGTAACCGGAGTTGTAACCGGGGGTGGAGTTGAAACCGGAGTCGTAACCGCCGGTGCCGAGGGCGATGGCAGCGGTGCAGGTGAGTGTTGCGTCTACCTCCATGCGCCAGTGCTCCGGTAAGAGAGGGCCGCCCTGGGAAGGGAGGGGAGGGACTCAGACGGGAGGAGAGGAAAGGAGGGCAGAGAAGAGGAGAGGAGAGGAGGAAAGAGGAGGAGGACATACGCATGTGAGTTTCGGTGACTGCTGCATCGACCTCCATTCCCCAGTGCTCTGGTAACAGCGGGTCGCACTGGAGGGGAGACATGAAGTGGGGACCACGGGGATTCAGACCCAAGGAAGTGGTGATAAATGAAAGGGAATTTAGACAGCCGCCCAAACACACGTTGAACGCAACACTCTCCCTACAATCCTACCCCCCTCTAACTCACATATACTCTGCCCCTGCCTGCTTCCCCCCTTCTGTCCACAACCTCTCCCATTCTCGGACTCTCCCTCCACACTCTCCCTGTTCCACGCTCGCCCCCTCACACTCTCCCTGCCCCGCTCACATGCTACACTCTCCCCTCACACACTCACCGCCACCAGCAGCGCCTCCAGAGCCTCCAGAATCGCGATCTGCAGATCAACGGTCTGCAGGCACCGACTGCCCGAGATAACACCTGTCCCAGTTGCACCTCCCCCCGCCCCTCCCCCTCCGCTGCCCGCTCCCCCCAACTTCCCGCTGCCTGCTGCAGCGCCGGGAGCGGCGTCGAATGCCATGCTGCCACCTGGCGAGCGCTGATTGGTTGGGGAGAAGAGCGCCGGCACAGCCTGCTTGAGATCTGTGATGCCCCGCCCCACCACTATGGGCGCGATCTGTGTCATCATACCTGGTAAGATAGGGGAGAGGGGGAGGGGGGGGTCGTGGAGGGGGAGGGGGAGGGGAAGGGGGAGGGCGGAGAGAGGAAGAAGGAAGAGGGGAATCAAATCACAACTATAGAAGGGCACGACACCAACACGGCCTGCTTGAGGTCTGTGATTCCCCGACCCACCACTATGGGGGCGATCTGTGTCATCATACCTGGTAAGGGAGCAGGCAAGGGGGGAAGGGGAAGAGGAAAAGGAGCGTGGAAGAAAGGGAGGGGAAGAGTGGGCACTGAAGAAGAGGCATGGCCTGTTTGAGGTCTGTGATGCCGCGGCCCACCACTATGGCGGCGATCTGCGTCATCACGCCTGGTGGGAGGGGGGGGGGAGGGGGGGGTGGGTAGGTCCGCGGGGAAAGAGGGGAGGGGAAGGGGCACAAGACAAGGGGTAGGAGTGGGCAGCTTAAGGCACGGCCTGCTCGAGGTCTGTGATGCCACACGACCCACCACTATGGGGGCGATCTGTGTCATCATGCCTGGTTGGGGGGGAGGAGGAGGAGAGGGGTGGTGGGAGTGGGGGGGAGGAGGGTGGTGAGAGGGGGTGGGAGGGAGGGGAAGGAAACGAGTATGGCAGGTCACAGCAGGACGCCAACACGGCCTGTTTGAGGTATGTGATGCCCCGACCCACGACTATGGGGGCGATCTGTGTCATCATGCCTGGTGGTGGGGGGGGGGGTGTGTAGGTCCGATGGGAAAGAGGGGAGGGGAAGAAGAGAGCGGGGAGAGGGGGTGGTGGGGTAGGTAAATCGAATCAACGGCTATTGGGGTAATCAATCACAGCCTGCTTGAGGTCTGTGATTCCGCGACCCACGACTATGGGGGCGATCTGTGTCATCATGCCTGGTGGGAGGGACGGATAATGGGTAGGAGGAAGGGGGACGGAGGGAGGAGAAGGGGGCATGGGGGAAGGGGACGGGGGAAGGGCGAAGGGGAGGAGTGGGCCTGCTTGAGGTCTGTGATGCCCCGACCCACCACTATGGGGGCGATCTGTGTCATCATGCCTGGTGGGAGGGAGGAGAGGAAGGGGGAGGGCGGGGAGAGGAAGAAGGAAGAGGGGAATCAAATCACAACTATAGAAGGGCACGACACCAACACGGCCTGCTTGAGGTCTGTGATGCAGTAAGACCCACCACTATGGGGGCGATCTGCGTCATCATGGCAGTAAGAAAGGGGAGAGGGGGACGGGGGAAGGTGGTGAGGGGCTGGGGGGAGAGGGGAAGGCAACGGATGTGGGGACTGGTAACACAGGCGCCTCAACAAACCCCTGCCAACTTCCAAGTGCATATACCAGTGGCCGTGCGTTGAACTCACAGGTAACGCATAAAAACTGGACTGCGTGGCCGTGCGGTAGAGTAGCGCCCTGAAGGGCAGTGAAGGGCAGTATGGGGTGTGACGGAACAGGCATGCACCTCAACCCACCCGCGCGCAGGGAAAGGAGGTACTGTGTGGCAGCACTGACACACCCAGACGACTCACCAGCGCCCAGGGCGTAGAGGTACTGCGTGGCCGTGCGGTAGAGCAGCACCTTGAAGGGCAGTGCGGTGGCGCCGTCCCCCGCTGCTGCTGCTGACATGTAAGAGAGTGAACTGAAAGCTACTCACCGGCGCCGAGTGCATATAGGTATTGAGTGGCCGTGCGGTAGAGCAGCGCCTTGAAGGGCAAAGCTGACTGCAGTGGAGGATGCATGCTGACTTGTGATGTAGGAAAATGGACTCACCCGCGCCCAGAGCATAGAGGTACTGAGTGGCCGTGCGGTAGAGCAGCGCCTTGAAGGGCAGAGCAGTGGCGTCGTCCCCCGCTGCTGCTGCTCGGCGAAAGGCCGACACGAGTGTGTGTGATATGGTGGCTGCATGGGGCAGGATGTGGCTGCGAGGGGGGGATGGGAGAGGGAGGAGGGAGAGAGAGAGGAAGAGGGAGAGGCGAGAGGAATGGAAGTGAGAGGGTGTGTGGCGAAAGGCTGACGAGCGTGTGTGAGATGGTGGCTGCATGGGGCATGATGTGGCTGCGAGGGGAAACGAGGAGAGGGGGGGAAGAGGGGGGGGAAGAGGAATGGAATTGAGCAAGTTTACGGCAAAAGGCTGATACGAGCGTGTGTGAGATGGTGGCTGCATGGGGCATGATGTGGCTGAAAAAAACGGAAAGAGGGGAGAGGAGGAGGCGGGAGGGGAAGGAGGGGAAGGAAGTGGAGGAAGGGGAAGGAGGGGAGGAGGGATGTGAGAAGGTGCATGGTACACGTCCTAAGATGATTCACTATTTTTTCTCACTTCCTTAGCGCACCATTTTATCACTTCATCAGCACTCAATTTTCAACTCCCTCCAACACACCACACCCACTTTCTCACTCCCTCCCATCCAACCCTTCACACTCATTTCCTCACTCTCTCCACCCCTTCACACTCACTTCCTCACGCCCTGCAGCGCGGCCAGCATCATCCTCAACCCAGCACACTGCAGCGCCAGCACCTATGTTAACATTGTTTTTGAGAATTCCCAAAAGCAACCACACCACACTCACTTCCTCACGCCCTGCAGGGCAGCCAGCATCATCCTCAGCCCTGCACACTGCAGCGCCGGCAGCTCCACACACAGCGCCAGCTGGCGGGCGGCAGAAAACGCCGAGCCCATGCCGTCCATCCCTCCGCCCGCATCAAAAGCATCCCCGCCTCCTCCCCCTCCTCCTCCTCTCCCTCCTCTCCCTCCAGAGGCGAGGAGAGAGAGAGGGATAACCATCCCTGTGCCCTCCACTTGCGTGAGTCGAATTACGGCGTCGGCTGATACAAGGCGATGGGCCAGGGCGAGCAGGGCGGAGAGGGGCGCTGGGACCTGGGAGGGCGAAGGAGGGCAGGGGAGGGAGGGGAGGGGAGGAAGGGAGGGAAGGGAGGGGCGGGAGGGGCGGGAGGGAACGGAGGGAAGGGAGGGAAGGGAGGGAAGGGGGGAAAGGGAGGGAAGGGAGGGAAGGGAGGAGACGGGTAGAGAACAAGCGAGGATAAAGAGATGGTCAAGGTAGGAGAGAGAGAGGGATAACCATCCCTGTTCCCTCCACTTGCGTGAGTCGAATTACGGCGTCGGCTGATACAAGACGGTGGGAAAGGGCGAGCAGGGCGGAGAGGGGCGCTGGGAGGGGAGGGACGGAAGGGACGGGAGGGAGGGGAGGGATGGGATTGGTGGAAGGAAAAGGAGAGGTTAAGCGAGGAGAAGGGAGGGGTTAAGCAAGGAGCGAGAGGAGGATGACCATCCCTGTTCCCTCCACTTGCGTGAGTCGAATTACGGCGTCGGCTGATACAAGACGGTGGGAAAGGGCGAGCAGGGCGGACAGGGGCGCTGGGAGGGGAGGGACGGAAGGGACGGGAGGGAGGGGAGGGATGGGATTGGTGGAAGGAAAAGGAGAGGTTAAGCGAGGAGAAGGGAGGGGTTAAGCAAGGAGCGAGAGGAGGATGACCATCCCTGTTCCCTCCACTTGCGTGAGTCGAATTACGGCGTCGGCTGATACAAGACGGTGGGAAAGGGCGAGCAGGGCGGACAGGGGCGCTGGGAGGGGAGGGACGGAAGGGACGGGAGGGAGGGGAGGGATGGGATTGGTGGAAGGAAAAGGAGAGGTTAAGCGAGGAGAAGGGAGGGGTTAAGCAAGGAGCGAGAGGAGGATGACCATCCCTGTTCCCTCCACTTGCGTGAGTCTAATTACGGCGTCGGCTGATACAAGACGGTGGGAAAGGGCGAGCAGGGCGGACAGGGGCGCTGGGAGGGGAGGGCGATGGGAGGGGAGGAAGGGAAGGGACGGGAGGGGAGGAAGGGAAGGGACGGGAGGGAGGGGAGGGATGGGAGGGGTGGAAGGAAAAGGAGCGGGGTAGAGAACAAGCGAGGAGAAAGGAGGGGTTAAGCAAGGGGCGAGAGTAGGATGACCATCCCTGTTCCCTCCACTTGCGTGAGTCGAATGACATCATCGGCTGAAACAAGGCGGTGGGCGAGAGCAAGCAGGGCGGATAGGGGCGCTGGGACCAGGGAGGAAGGAGGGGGGGAAAGGGGAAGGGATGGGTGGGGTTCGGAACAAGTGATGAGGTACGAGGATTTAAGGAGGGGTCATGGCAGAAGGGAGGGGCCAGGAGAGGGGGCGAGAGGCAGGGAGGAGAGGCAGGGGAAAGAGGTAGGGGCAGACGAGCACAAGGCGCAGCGCAGGCGAACAAGTTGGTAAGGGGAACAAAAGGGGAAGGGAAATACAGGGTGCATGGGCACAAGGCACCAATACCACCACACCACACAACCACTTAAGCCGCTTCCGAGAACCTTCAGAACCAACCAACCCACCGGAGAAGAGAACCCCTGAGTGATCGCCAGCTGGCACGTGAGCAGCAGCGCGTGCAGCCGCGGCACCACCCGCCGAAACACCGCCTCGGGATCTCCACCGCTGCTGCTGCCGGCGCCACTGCCGCTGCCGTTTGCATTTAGGTTCGACGTCTGCCCTCCTTGCTTGTTCCGCCCCTGCTGCCCCTGCTGTCCCTGCCCTCCTGTTTCCTGCTGCTCGTCGTCCTTGGTGCAGTTAGCAGCGATCCAGTGTGCATGCTCGGGCACCAGAGGCACCGGCAGGGCTGCACTCTTGGAGTGAAGGAGCGTTGCCAGGGCCTTGGCCCGCACAGATTCTGTCAATTCAAGAAAGGGGGGCAGGGTAATGGAGGAAGGGAGACAGGGAGTGAGGGAGGGAGGGAGGGCGGGAAGAGGCATTGCAAGGGCCTTGGCCCGCACAGATTTTGCCATCATGCCACGTGGGTCCAGGTAAGATTATGGGGTTGATGGAGGGAGGGAGAGAATCGGTGAGCAGCGATCCAATCCGGTGCGTGTGCTCGGGCACCAGAGGCACATGAGTCACTCAAGGAGCAGCATTGCTTGCCAATCGGAAGGCCCGTTGTGGGCATGGTACCTGGGAGAGGCCGTCAGCACAGGTTAGATGCCCTGCACGACCTGCTCACGGCCATGCAGCCCTGTGCTGACAGCCTTGACGTTGCAGGGATTTTTTTGAGACTTCAAAAAAAAAATCCCCACGACTTGCTCACGGTCACGGACGGCCATGCAGCCCTTTCCAGGTACCCTGCCGTACACCCATCAGATATCCATGAAACATTGATGAATCGTTTCCCATAAGTGGTTGGTTTCCTTTGAGTCGTTTCCTCCCGTGAGCCACTTTCTAAAAGTCGTCCCCCCTGGTAGCCTGCCAGCGCTACTCTGCCCGGGCTGCCTGGGGTGCCCTGCCTGGGGTAGCCTTGGTCGAAATATTCATAGCCAACCATCTCACTTGCCACTTGCTGCTGCATGCCCAGTGCAGTGTGTGTGCACCTGGCCCATTACAAACCATACTTCATTGGTAACACTGCAACCTCCATCCCCTCCCTCCCCTCCCTCTCCACCTTCCCACTCGCCCCTCCCCCCATCCATGCCAGCAGGTGCCTGGAGTGGCGTGCCTCGTCTCATCCATAGCCGATCATCTCAGCGCTACCAAGGCGGCTCTGGATGCTGCATGTGTTAACAGTGATCGCCTCGCTGACGCCTCTGTGAGTGTCACCTTAACTCGCAACCACTCACAGAGGCGTCAGCGAGGCAATCACTGTTGGCACATGCAGCATCCAGAGCCGCCTTGGTAGCGGTGAGATGATCGGCTATGGATGAGACGAGGCACGATGACCTTTGAGTCGACTCAAATCAGCACTATACTGGCACCCCACCCCAGGCTCCAGCTGATAGACACTCACAGAGGCATGGATCGCTGGAGGGTCGCTGGACGGGTCGCTGGAAGGGTCACTGGAGGGGTCACTGGTGGGACATGCGCATGCCAACACCACTTGTACTCACACCTGCACCAACACCCGTCCTTCATCTGCACTCATACCAATGCTAGTACTCGCACTCTCACCTGCCAGCATCACTGGCAGCAGCACCACTAGCAGAAGCACTAGCAGCACCACAGGAAGCACTAGGCATGAGCAAGGGGCGAACTCGAACATGTTCGTGTTCGCCCCCTGACGAACATGGCCTTCTGCCGAACCGAACAGTGTTCGGTTCAGCGAACGACTTGAGTGAAAATAGGTGTTCGCCGTTCGCCCTAGGAGGCGAACGAATTACTGCAACAGGCGAACACGAACATGTTCGTGGCGAACATGTTCGTGTTCGCCCAGGGGGAAATTCAATATAGAGTAAAATTCAATTGCACATTCCCTCCCCCCACCTCCCAAGCCAGTCCCGCCCTGCTTCATCCATCTAGTGCCAGCGTGCAACGGCGAAATGCTAGATCCGCACTTAAGCAACGGCGAAATGCTAGATCCGCACTTAAGCAACGGCGAAATGCTAGATCCGCACTTAAGCAATGGCGAAATGCTAAATCTGCACTTAAGCAACGGCGAAATGCTCGATCCGCACTTAAGCAACGGCGAAATGCTAGATCCGCACTTAAGCAACGGCGAAATGCTAGATCCGCACTTAAGCAACGGCGAAATGCTAGATCCGCACTTAAGCAACGGCGAAATGCTAGATCCGCACTTAAGCAACGGCGAAATGCTAGATCCGCACTTAAGCAACGGCGAAATGCTAGATCTGCACTTAAGCAACGGCGAAATGCTCGATCCGCACTTAAGCAACGGCGAAATGCTAGATCCGCACTTAAGCAACGGCGAAATGCTAGATCCGCACTTAAGCAACGGCGAAATGCTAGATCCGCACTTAAGCAACGGCGAAATGCTAGATCCGCACTTAAGCAACGGCGAAATGCTAGATCCGCACTTAAGCAACGGCGAAATGCTAGATCTGCACTTAAGCAACGGCGAAATGCTCGATCCGCACTTAAGCAACGGCGAAATGCTAGATCCGCACTTAAGCAACGGCGAAATGCTAGATCCGCACTTAAGCAACGGCGAAATGCTAGATCCGCACTTAAGCAACGGCGAAATGCTAGATCCGCACTTAAGCAACGGCGAAATGCTAGATCTGCACTTAAGCAACGGCGAAATGCTCGATCCGCACTTAAGCAACGGCGAAATGCTCGATCCGCACTTAAAGCCCGCGTCCCAAATTGCGGGCCGCGAGGGTCAAGTTTATAAAACTTGACGAAGTTGAGTGTCCAAGCTTTTGAAAGTCACGGACTTGTAATTTGGGACTTTCGAAGACAGATTCACTCACCAGGGGGAAAACCGAGGGTTGGCTGGGTCTCGCGAAAAAACGAACCTAGACGAAATCGGAAACTCTCACCAAAGCCCACACCAGAAAAACTCCCTCTGGTCAACTTTTAAAATCATGAACAATTTGGGCCGCCGGCTTTAAGCAACGGCGAAATGCTAGATCTGCACTTTACTAACTGCGAAAGGCCAGATCTGAGCCCAAACACCAAGGCCCGCGACCTAAAAATTGGTCGCGGGCCTATTCGTCGACGAACACATTGGTGTTCGTCGAAGGCCTGTATCGAACACGAACACGTTCGTGTTCGACGCGCCTCGGCGAGCTGAGCCGGGCGAACGGCGAACGTGTTCGGGCGAACACCGAACACGTTCGCCCCGAACAATTTAGGCCAAAAAAAAACCCTGTTCGATTCGCCTCGAACGAACAGGAGTTCGTCATATTGCTCATCCCTAGGAAGCACACGTATCTTCACCAAAACACCCACCATCCTCAAAGAACAAGAGCAGAGTATCAAGGTCCGCATGCATGGAGAGCAGAAGGCGGCGCATGAAGGCTGACCAGAGGGCGGGATCACCGGAGGGTCATGTGCGCCGCCGCCGCCAACACAGGTGCTCACACTTGAAAGAAACACACCCACCTGGCAGCACCGTCACACCCCTCACCATCCTCAAAGCTGGAGAGCAGAGTGTCGAGGTCGGCGTGTGTGGAGAGCAGCAGGCGACGCATGAAAGGGCCGTACGAGCCTAATCCAATATGCATACCCACCACTGCCAGCACCACGGGCAGCACTCACAGCCATGCCCCTTACCATCCTCAAAGCCGGAGAGCAGAGTGTCAAGGTCGGCGTGTGTGGAGAGCAGCAGGCGACGCATCAAGGCCGACCAGAGGGAGGGATCGTTGGAGGCACGGGGGAGCAGCACCAGAAGACTGCAGCAGGACTGGTGGGAGGAAAGGGAGAAGGAAGGGGGAATAATGGTTGAAATTCTTGTATCTTGGGGCTCAACGAAGCGGCAGCAACAGCAGCAGGCGGCGCATGAAGGCCGACGAGAGCGAGGGGTCGCTGGAGGCACGGGGGAGCAGCACCAGCAGATTGCAGCACGACTGGCGGGAGGAAAGGGCGGGTTGGGGATGAAACGGTAGATATGAGTTGGATCTCAGGGAGCACCAGCAGCAGCAGTCGGCGCAAGAATGTGGACCAGAGGGAGGGGTCGCCGGAGGCACGGGGGAGCAGCACCAGCAGATTGCAGCAGGACTGGTGGGGGAGTGGGGGTGGGAGGGGGGTATAATGGTTGAAATTCTTAAATTGGGGCTCAACGAAGCGGTAGCAGCAGCAGCAGGCGGCGCATGAAAGCCGACGAGAGCGAGGGATCACTGGAGGCACGGGGGAGCAGCACCAGCAGATTGCAGCACGACTGGCGGGAGGAAAGGGCGGGTTGGGGATGAAACAGTAGATATGAGTTGGATTTCGGGGAGCAGCAGCAGGCGACGCGACGCATGAAGGCTGACCAGAGGGAGGGATCGCTGGATGCACGGGGGAGCAGCACCAGCAGATTGCAGCAAGACTGGTGGCGAATTGTGGAGGGGTTGGGGGTGGGGATGGGGGTGGGGATGGGAGGGGAATGAGGGTGGGATGGGGGTGGGGATGGAGGGGGATGAGGGTGGGATGGGGGAAGCGGAAATGATGCTTGAAGTTAGGGAAAGCAGCACCAGCACACTCCAGCAAGTTTGGCAGGAGAGCGAGGGGGCGGGTGGGGGAAAATCCGCGAGCAGTGAGGTGTATTTTGAGGCGCCTCAAAATACAGCAGCACCAGCACCAGCAGCACCAGCACACTCCAGCACGTTTGGCAGGAGCGGGAGGGAGGGAGGGGGTGGGTGGGTGGGGGAGTCAAGAGTCGACTTTGCAAGTCTTCGTGGTTGCGTTGCGTGTGACATGACAACCCCCCCCCACACTCACATGGACGATTGATGCGGGCGCATTGGGAGATGACAGCTTAGATACCAGAAGAGCCTCCATCTGTGGTAAGGAGGAGGGAGGAAGGAATCAGAAGGAGACCCTTTTGAGTCGACTCAAAGGTCACCTCGGCAGGGCATGGCACCCCCTGGTGCATTGGGCCAGCAGCAGGGGTGTGGCGTGGCGTGCAGGTAAGGACGAACGGCGGACGGAGGATGGAAGTGACAGTCCAGTCCAGTCCAGTCCAGTCCAGTCCAGTCCACATAGAAAGTGCGCAATAACAAATGATGCAATAACAGCACTACTGCAGTAGTAGTACCAATGACAGATATAAAAATAAAACTGATTACATACCGCTGGAACGTGATGCTTGAAGCTGGAGGGGAAGGAGCGCAGCAGCAGAGAGAGCAGCGAGAGGCACACGCTCTGGCAGGAGGGGTGGGGGGGCACATGTGGGAGGAAGGGAGGGGGGGAGGCGGAGGAGAGGCATGGTAGAGAGAGAATGGGTAGGCGAAGGCAAGGAGAGGCCTTGAGACCTGCTGGTGGTCTCATCTCATAGACGGGTAATTTCATCTCATCTCATCTCATACAAGAAGTGATCCAGAAACCAAACCAGTGCAACAGATATGCAGAGAAACGGCTCTAACAGTCACGTGTATAGCGTGTATTTTTGAGACATCTCAAAAATACCCTTTATACAGAAGAAGTGATCCAGAAACCAAACCAGTGCAACAGATGCAAAGAAACGGCTCTAACAGTCTCTTTGAACAGAAGTGTGGCTGGTGAGAGGTGCTATGCGAACCAAACCACTCGCAGAGAGTAGAGGCTGAATGCATCTTTGAGACGTCTCAAAAGTGCGATGCGAAGCAAACCACTGGCAGAGAGTAGATGCTGAATGCATCTGAATGAGGCATTTTTTTTTAGACGTCTAAAAAAACTTATTATTTCACGAGAGTAGAGGCCGAATGCATCTGAATGAGGCACGAGGGGTTTCCAAGTGATTCCCAACAAGCAGAGATGTGATTGCGAATGCCAATGTGCCACCCACCCACGCCTGCGTGCTCTCGGTGCCGCCCATCATCTCCGCCAGAAACGGCCAAAGCTTGCCGGCCAAAGTGCCAGCCTCCTTGCGCACACTCTGCACATGAGACAAAGTTGCCAGCCTGGCATGAGGAGAGAGGGAGGGCGGCACACGCGTTAGCATGATAAGCATGTGTGTGCGTTCGCACATGTGTGTGTTTGTGTAGATGCGATGGGGTGGAGTGGCATGTGTGTGTGTGTGTGTGTGTGTGTGTGTGTGTGTGTGTGTGTGTGTACGTGTGCGTGTGTGTGTGCGTGTGTGTGTGTGTGTGTGTGTGTGTGTGTGCACGTGTGCGTGTGTGTGTGTGTGAGCTGTGCTTGCGCGCGAATGTGTGAGGGGGGAAGGGGGCGGGGAGGGGGTGTGCGCGTACGCACACACATGTGCGTGTGTGTGCGCGCGCGCACGTGAGCGAGTGTGTGAGTGGGTAACCGAGCACAACAGTCCATACCGCACCTAGAGAAGAGGTCAGCAAGGGCAGCGGCAGCAGCCACACGCACAAACATCGTATCCTGTACCATGGCCTCCTTGCCCTTCCCACCCCCCTTCTCTTTCTCCTTCGCTCTTCCATTCCCTCTCCCCTCCTTCCCCTCCTCCCCCTCCTCTCCCTCCGCCTCCCCCTCCTCTTCCCCCTCCTCTTCCCCTTCCTCCTCCTTCCCCTCTTGCTGCTGTTGCGCGCCCTTCTCGCTCGCCCCACCGCCTCCTTTTGTCTTATTCGCCTTCAGCAGGGCGGCTAGCCGCCCCCACCACTTGGCATACGTGTCGACCACGCGCTGAGCTGTGCTCTCTGCACACGTGGCACCTGCCAGCACACATGCCGCCCACCGATTGGCCGGCTGGAGGAGGAGTAGAAGAGGCAGAGCATAGGAGAGGAGAGTGGCAGAGGGGAGGGGAGAACTGATTGGGTTAAAGGAGAGGTAAGGAGAGGTAAGGAGACGCAAGGAGAGCATTCGATGGAAGGGGAAACAAGGAGAGGTAAGGAGAGGTAAGGAGAGGTAAGGAGAGGTAAGGAGAGGTAAGGAGAGGTACGGAGAGGTAAGGAGAGACAAGGACTTAACAGAGCTTGACTTGGCGACATCTTCAATCTCACACATATCACTTCCCTCCGTCACCTCGCCTCCTTCACTTCCTTCCAGCACCTTACGCTATCAATCCGCAACCCTAAAACCTCAAAACCCAACCCACCAGCGGAGAAGCCAGTAACGCGAACACCCTGCTGCACCACGCGTCCACAGCCCGCCTCCTGGGGTCGTTACCGCTCCTCACGGCTGCCCAGTCCGGTTCCACTGCCAGCACGTGCTGCTCTGCTCTCGCAGCTGATACTCACGCTGCTGATGACCATTCAAACCGAGAGGTTAACCAGCCTCCATTCAAACCGCAGCCCACCGCTGTGTGCTCTGCTCTGCTCACCTACTAACGCAACTTATTCTTGCACTGTAATTCACCACCAAACAAAAACCCACCAGCGGGGATGCCAATAACGCGAACACTCTGCTGCACCACGCGTCCACATCGCGCCTCCTGGGATCATTGCCGCTCCCCACGGCCGCCCAGTCCGGTTCCACGCCCAGCACGTGTTGCTCTGCTCTCGCAGCACCCCCACCAGCGAGGATGCAGCGCGATTAACCGGCTTGGTTTCATTCAAATCGCAGCAAGCTATGTGCCTTGCTCACCTGCTAATGGAACCAATCCTCATGCAAGCACTCACCACCAACCACAACGAAAAACCCACCAGCGGGGATGCCAGTAACGCGAACACCCTGCTGCACCACGCGTCCACAGCACGCCTCCGGGGGTCATTGCCGCTCCCCACAGCCGCCCAGTCCGGTTCCACGGCCAGCACGTGTTGCTCCCGCAGCACCCCCACCGCCGCTCGCACCCTGCCCATATCGATCGGGTCCTTGGGGGAAGCTGGGAGGAAGGAGGTCAGGAGAGACTGCAGCAGTCGCAGGCGCAACCGGGGGTCCTGTGCGGTGCAAATGGGAGGTCGAGGGGTGGGGGGGTGGGGGATGAAATGGAATGGGGTAGGGCGGAGATTGCACCCCCACGGCCGCCCAGTCCGGTTCCACGGCCAGCACGTGCTGCTCCCGCAGCACCCCCACCGCCGCTCGCACCCTGCCCATATCGATGGGTTCCTTGGGCGAGGCGGGGAGGAAGGAGGTCAGGAGGGATTGCAGCAGGCGCAGGCGCAGACGGGGATCCTGTGCGGTGCAAATGGGAAGTGGTGGCATGGGGAAGGGAACCCAGGATGGAGAACGGGGGATGAAGGAGATGGGGCAGGGTGGGCGCAGAGCAGCCACCCCACGGCCTCCCAGTCCGGTTCCAAAGCCAGCACGTGCTGCTCCTGCAGCACCCCCACCGCCGCGCGCACCCTGGCCATGTCGATGGGATCTTTGGGCGAGGCGGGCAGGAAGGAGGCGAGGAGGGACTGCAGGAGGCGCAGACGCAGACGCAGACGGGGGTCCTGTGAGGAGAAGGGGGGAAGTTGGGGGATGGGGGAATGGGGATGGGCAATTCGGGATAAAGGAGAATGGCCCAGCACGTGTTGCTCCCGCAGCACCCCCACGGCCGCCCGCACCCTGCCCAAGTCGATGGGTTCCTTGGGCGAGGCGGGCAGGAAGGAGGTGAGGAGGGATTGCAGGAGGCGCAGACGCAGGCGGGGGTCCTGTGTGGTGCAAATGGGAAGTGGGGGGGTGGGGGGTGAAATATGATGGGGCAGGGCGGACGCAGCACCCTGCGCATGTCGATGGGGTCCTTGGGCGAGGCGGGCGGGAAGGAGGTGAGGAGGGATTGCAGAAGACGCAGGCGCAGAAGGGAGTCCTGTGGGGGGACGGGGGAGCGGGGGGATGGGGGGAGTTGGGGGGATAGGGGTTGGGGAGAGGGGGAGTGTGGGGGGAGGAGGGTAAGGGGAGGGGGTGGAGAGTGAAGGGATGGTGCACGGAGAGAGGAACATCATGGGGGGGAGGGAGAGCGGAGGGAGGAGGAGGCGCTAAAATGACAGAATTTGCTGGAAAATACCAAATGCGCAACAAACAGCGGCCGACGGGGTTTGGGTTTCCTCGAGAAGAGGAATTTTCTCGCGCCCCGAGGCCCTATCCATGCGATGTGGCAACAGTTAGGGTTTTTAGACCTCTAAAAAGGAGCGTAAAACTGAAAACATGGCACTGGAAATATATCCAAACTACTACACTGACAGATAGATCGCAATGGGACCTAGAAGTTCCAGTGACAGAGTCACCTGGGCGCTGGTCTGTCCTGCACCGCGCGGCGAGTAGTCGTTATTTTTCACCATCAAGAGCTAAGCGCACGGTTTCACGACGTCACCTCGAACCGCACCTTGAATCGCGCTTGGACGCACCTGACGTTCGACAGCACCTGACTGTTAACGAATCTGACGATCGACTGTTGAACGCACCTGCGCGCCGGTGAGCACGTCGTTGCCCATCAGGAGCGGTTTGGCCGCCATTCCCGCTGCCGAGTCCGGTCTGATCCGATTTCCCCGTGATTCGCGGCAAATGTCTGCTCCAGACTTGCCGTGTAGCCTCGCGACTCGCTCTTTCCTCCCGCTTTGAACGACCGCCGAGCGGTTAGCCTAGCCTCTCAGGCGTGAGACAACGCCGGCACACGCGGGGATGAGATCGCGCATGTTTTACGCCGTTAAGTACTCTAGTAGAAGTTGAAAGGTCAAAGGTAGTGGAAAAACTATACAGATTACCTCCAGAGATATAGTAAAACTGGAGTTTATCCAACAGACTTCTAGGGCGTATAACTCGAGCAAGTTACTATATGTAGTATCTCCAGATGCGGGCCGGACTTTGTGCGAGTTCAACGGAGGCAAGGACCCGGAATGACGCTGAGGAATAAAAATCTCCAACCAAGCGGTCACCATTTGCTGGAGGAGCTTGGAGGCATCCTTGGGGTTTAGGGCAGAAGGACAAGTGCTTGCACTAGAACAGAACGGAACGGAACAGACTGGCGTAACTGGATAGCTGAAACATGAGGAAAATCCAAACCCCCCCATCCGTCTGTCTGTTTCGCATGAAGGCGCGGCTATGGCCTCTCTTGCCTTGATGGAAGAAGAAGAGATGGGATAACAGTTGACGTCGCGAACAATCTACGTCAGCGATGAAACTGAGTTGTTCGCATACAGAGAGCCTCTTCGTTAGTCATCGCGAACGAGCTGCGACAACAAATGTATCGGCACGACAAAAATATCGCAGCGCTTCGCGAATCAAACGGAGGTAGGCAGAACCCAGATCACGGAGTTTAGGGTCAACTCTTGTGGCGCCGCGTCAGAAATGAAGCAACTTGCCGGCAACTGGTCGAACATGGACTGCTTTCATCGGTGTTCACGAAACCCGCGAAGAACAACGACACTGATAGCATTTGAGAACGGGTTTTGCTGACCTCTTGCCACTTTCGTTTGAAGCGAAATACGGTTACTTGAAAACACTCTTGTCGTCTAGTCAGAAGCCTAGAAATACAGTTGCCCAACCAACTAGGCAGCACAAAACCGCCAATTTGCTTGACAAATCCTGTTCCCCTGGGATCACGCGTGCCGTTTGGATTCCTTGTGTATGCACTCGAGCCTGACAAGAAATCAGTTCAGATCCCGTTCAGCAGGGGCTATTTCCCAAAACTTGGAATTTTGAAACCCTGAATGTCCAACCCTGGGGTTTGCAGATACCGTACAAGAGGGGAAGAGCTACCTTACATCCTGTCACCCAGGGGAACGGGCAAGAGAGAACAGGAGAGTTCTAGCTCCAGGCATCAATTCTTACCAGGTCTAAAAGGACAGAGGAGGCAGGAGCGTTTCTAGTGAAGTAATGGGAGTTGGGGAATTAGATGCAACAAAGCATCTTTGATGCCGGGGAGAGTAGTGAGGGGTGGGGAAGGAAGGAGGAGGCAGGGGGGCAGGAAAATGGTAAGAAATTGAGAGGAAACAATGTTAATGTACGTAGGCAAGTATAATCTCTTATTCAACCACAACCTTGGCACGAAGGGCAGCATTGCAGCAACCATGGCAGCCCGAGGCAAAGGCGCAGCACAAACAGATGACAGGCCTGACAGGCAAGCATATCTCTATGACTTTCCCCCACTGAGACTATTATTCCTGTGCCATTTCTCCTGTGTTCCAGAAGCATCAAGTGAAAACAGATTCAGCCTGCTCCGGCGTCCCTCACTGGGAGTGCTATTGCTTTTGCTGCTGTTCCTCTTCTGCCGTGGCAGCTGCTGTAGGGAGGGTGCCTGTAGCGGCTGTTGTGGCGGCTGCTGCGGTGGCTGCTGTAGTGGCTGCTGCGGGTGTCTGTAGTGGCTGCTGTGTGTGTCCTGTAGAGGCTGCTGTAGCTGCTACTGTTGGCGTGTCTGGGAAAGATACGAGCTGATCGCTTGCTCAAATGGCTTGCAGAGGATCTTGGACTGGTGCAGAGTGGTGATGAGCGGTTGGAGGGGTTACATCGGCGTAGGAAGAAGATGGCAAGAAGCTGAAAAATGGTGAAATGCGACGAAAAGAGATGACAAGAGGGTGGCACAAGGTAACAAGAGGACGACAACAGGTCCAGAGTGGTGAAGGCTGAGTGTTGGTGAGACAAGCACAGGGAGATGGCAGCAAGGTGGGCTGGGCAACACATGGAGGTAGCTTCTGAACCTGCAGTTACCAATCAGTGATGGGGAGGGCAGCACAAACGTAAGGCATCACATTGAATGGTTGAGACTCTTCAGAATATCAAAAAAATCTCTGACTAACACAGACAAGATGGTCTCACAAGTCTTACCCTGAACAGAAAAAAAAAAAAAAAAAAAAAAAAAAAAAAAAAAAAAAAAAAACCACCTGAGGCTATTTGAATGAGTCTCCTCTGGATGAGCAAGTGCACGATGTGGCACACGCACGATATTAAGAAGCAATTTCGGAATTCAGACCGAGACTAAGGAGAAATAGGGATAAGTATAGTGCATAGTGACACACTGCGATGCATACGCACATGTATAGGCAAATGTGGTACCAGGCCCCTGAACCAATTTAAGCGGCAAAGTAAATGGCAATCCCAGGTGGCAATATACATGGCAAACTACGTGGCAAATTGCGTAACAACCGAAGTAGCAACTGAAGTGGCAAGCGTCCAACCACGTTTCCCCACGGTCGCTTACCTAAGTGTCAGTACTTTGGTCGCTTCATGGGCCCGCCAGACCCAGACCCCATTGGCCTCTTCCCCATAGGCGGAGGGGGACCCCTCCCGCTCCCCCCTTTCCCCATCGGCCTCCCCCCACTCCCTCCCCCTCCCCCTCCTCCTCCCCCCGGTCTCCCCCCGCTGCCTCCCCCCATCGGCCTCCCCCCTCCCCCTCCGGATTTCCCCATAGGCCCCTTCCCCATCGGCCTCCCCTCTGGTCGCCCACTCCACCCCCCCTTCCCCCCGCTCCCTCCCCCTCCCCCTCCTCTCGCATCCCCAGGCCTTCCCCCACCACCACTCCCCCCTCCTCCCCCCCCACCCCCTCCCCCTCCCTTCCTCCTCCTCCTCCTCTCCCCGTCACTATCATACTCCTCCCCCTTCTCCCGATCCTCCCTTAAAGCCTTTGCTTCAAGCTCATCCCACGTCGGACCCTCCTCCTCCTCCTCTTCCTCCTCCTCCCCCTCCTCCTCCTCACTATCCACCACACTCTCATCATCCTCGCTCTCGTCATCGTCATCGTCGGATGCAGCCTCCTCCAGATCCGACGGCTCGTACGCCTGCGATTCCTCCGACTCCTCCCCCTCGCTATCCGACGCTTCGAGATTCAGAAACTCCCACCCGCCGTCTGCGAGAAACGCCTCGGGATCACTCATAATATTCTGCAGGATAGCCTTCCAGCTGAGATTCAGCCGCGACTCATAGTACTTTATGTTCATCGAATTCAGCCATTCTTTCACCGAGTCGAGCGACGTGCTCGGGATCGCATCGATCCGTAACACGTCCCGCTTGAAATCCTTGAAAACAATCGCCATGTCGAAAGTTTTCTGCCCGAGACCCACGCGCTCCAGGTTCACAATCTCGACCTCGTTCAGAGTGACCACCAGGAAGGGGACCTCTATAAGCTCCACGAGACAGTTCACCGTCGGTACGATGAATGCGGACGACTTGTGCGGCACGCCGTGAAACCCTAATTCCCGGAACGGCACGTCGAATTCGAGGTCCAGCCGAGCAAGCTCCCGATCCTTCTCCCAGAGAGAATGCACCGCGCTGACAAAGGATTTAAACTCCCGGTTGATCTTGCTCCGCCGCTCCCGCTCCCTCTGCTCCTCTTCGATTTCGTCTGGGTCGTAAGCCGAGCGGCGCGAGCCGCCCACTGTTTGGACGACCTCCATGACCTCGGCGAAAAACTGCACGTCTTTCGTCTTTTTCTTGCCGACCATGATGGGGTTGTGCAGGTGGAAGTGCAGGAGGGTGATCATCTCGTTTTCGGCCGGCTGGAAGAAGGCGTGCTTGATGTTGACATACATCACCTCCACCCTCTCGTCCGGCTGGTGTATGAGGGGTGGGAAAGGGGGAATACGGATGTGTAAGGGGGGAGATGGGGAGTGTTCTCGTTGCCCACAGGTCAAAGAAGGCGTGCTTGATGTTGCCATACATCACCTCCACCCTCTCGTCCGGCTGTTGTTGGGGGGGTGGCGGGGAGTGGAGGGGGGAAGGGAGGGGTAAAGATGGGGAGTATTCTTTTCGCCCACGTGAGAATGGAAGGCGTGCTTGATGTTGTCATACATCACCTCCACCCGCTCGTCCGGCTGGTGGGAGGGGGTAGGTGGGGGGTTGGTGTGTTTGGAGAGTGGATAGTTGATGGAGTAGGTGAGAGGGTGCAAAAAGGGGAGTGGATGCAAAAACCCACCATCACAAAGAACCGCATGCCACCACACGCCACCGCACAACCCACCTTGGCCAGAAGCCATGCCAATTCATTACCTTGGCAGTGGAGTACCGGAACCCGTTCAGATGCGCCTCCAGTGACCCAGTGAGCTTCTGGCCCTTCCCTCCAAAGGACGGCCGGATCCAGAGGTCTGGCAGGCGCGACTGTGAATCCTCATTAGCCATTTCATTTCATTAACTTGGCAGTGGAATACCGAAACCCATTCAGATGAGCCTCCAGTGACCCAGTGAGTTTGCGCCCCTTCCCGCCAAACGACATCCGGATCCAGAGGTCCGGCAGGCGGGGCGGGCGGCCCTTGCTGAGCTGAGCTTGATACGCCTCCAGCAATCTTTTCAGCTCCTTATAAATCTTCCCATGACAGAACCGCATGCCCCCGCATGCCACCACATGCCACCACACACCACCCACCGCACAACCCACCTTAGCAGTGGAATACCGGAAACCGTTCAGATGAGCCTCCAGAGACCCGGTGAGCTTCCGGCCCTTCCCACCAAAGGACGGGCGAATCCAGAGGTCCGGCAGGCGCGGCGGGCGGCCCTTGCTGAGCTGGAGCTTCTCCTGCGTGACAAGTGTCGCTCTCTCAGCGCGCTCCGACTCCCGCTGCCGCACGTGCTTGCTCATCGTCTTGATCAGCTGCACCACCTGGTGCTTGTCAAGAGATATAGAGGAAGAGAAATAGACGGGGCGGCGTGGAAGTGGGGGGGGTTAACGGAAGAACCTAACAGCTCTGGTGTTGTTCTCTCTCCGACTCCCGCTGCCGCACGTGCTTGCTCATCGTCTTGATCAGTTGCACCACCTGGTAGTTGTGAAAGTAAGATGCAGGGAGGGGGGGAGAGGGGGGGAAAAGAAGAGCATTAACAAAAGAATGGAGCGGTTGGTTTGGTGTCGTCCCGACTCCCGCTGCCAGGCGTGCTTGCTCATGGTCTTGATCAGGTGTTACAGCGGGTGATTGCTGTGAGTACGGAGGGAGGAAAGAGGGAGAGCGGGGAAGGTAGTAGTGGTGAGGGTTTGAGGAACAGTGCTTGCGCATGATCACACGTTAATTGGTTTGCATGCATGGAGCCTGTTTGATGTGAACAGCAACTCCATGAAGTTGCAAGGTATTTCTGAGAATTCTTAAAAATACCCCGCTCTAGGGGAAGTCCATGGGTAACTTGTGCATTAGCAGGATGGCAGCACGATAGACGAGGTTACCTGGTTACCTATATGGAATGTGCTTACCTGGTTCGCATGCCGCAAATCAATTGACTTGAAAGAGAGCTCCTTGATGAAGATGCTGTCGGGGAACTTCTGCATGGGCAGGTCGGCGGCGCTGAAGCCAGCACTGGGCACGTTGAAGATGATGCGGATGTAGATGTGCCCTCCGTCCTGCTGGCTGGTCACGTTGCGGATCATGCACACATGGAACGGCACGAGGAGGCCGTATATGGGGAGCAGCACGGATTCATGGCGTTGATCCACCTGCAACCAGGAGGGACGAGGGAGAGAGAGCGGGAGAGGGAGGGCATTAGCATGTAAGACAGCCGTCCTGCTAGCTGGTGACGTTGCGGATCATGCACACGTGGAACGGCACGAGCAGCCCGTATATGGGGAGGAGGACGGACTCGTGCCGCTGGTCCACCTGCAAACAAGGGGGGAAAGGAGGTAGAGAGAGTGGTGGAGAGGGGTGAGGGGTGCATGTGGCCTCCGTCCTGCTGGCTGGTGACGTTGCGGATCATGCACACGTGGAACGGCACGAGGAGGCCGTATATGGGAGAGAGGAGGGAGGGGAAGGGGAGAGAGGAAGGGGAGAGACGGGGGGAGGGGAGTGAGGGCGATGGGCAAGCGGGTGGAGGAGAGAAAGGTGTGCTGTGCATGCGGATGAAACGGCACGTGGAGGATGTGACGTAACCAAAATAGCCTCGTCCACTGTCCACACCACATCACCATACGGCCTAATCCTCTGCCTGCTGCTCACTCCCATGAAAAACCCTCTGCTCCTTAAAAAAAAAAAAAACACACACACACACACACACACACACACTCCCCCCCCTCCCCCTCTCTCCCCCTCCTTCCCCCTCCATCTGTTCCCCCACAATCCCCCTCCTCCCCCAACCGCCTCCTACCTGGATCTTATAGTCCTTCACCGCAAGAGGGATTTCATCCACATCGCCGTCTTGAGACACCAGGTCGCCCGTCTGCCGCTTCGCCCCCTCGCCCTCCCTCTCCATCCCACTGCCTCCCTCCCATCCCACCCACCTGGATCTTATAGTCCTTCATCGCGAGAGGAATCTCATCCACATCCCCGTAGGAGACCAAATCCCCCGTCTGCCTCTTCGCCCCCTCGCCCTCAATTCCTCCCCTCACTGCCTCCCTCCCATCCCACCCACCTGGATCTTATAGTCCTTCATGGCCAGAGGAATTTCATCCACATCGCCGTAGGATACCAGATCTCCCGTCTGCCTCTTGGCCCCCTCGCCCTCGCGCGCGCCCAGTCCCCCAGCAGCGAGCCGCCGGGCCGTCTCTTCGATCTTCTGCTTCGCCAGCTCCGCCTGGTGCTGCCGCCGCAGCTCCTCCTTCGTGGCCTCTTGATTCTCCGACCGCAGGTGAGCACGAGCGAACACAGCAGGCTCCCCCGCGCCTGCTGCTTCTGCTGGCCGTTTCCCCTTGTCTGCTTCCTCCTCCTCCTCGTCTTCGCCCTGGTAAGGTGCAGCAGCATACCACATGGTGAGGAGGGGAAGGAAAGGGAAGGATGAGGCAAGGACTGCGTTAGTTGCTTCGCCAGCTCCGCCTGGTGCTGCCGCCGCAGCTCCTCCTTCGTGGCCTCCTGATTCTCCGACCGCAGGTGAGCACGAGCGAACACAGCCGCCCCTGCTGCTTCTGCCGGCCGCTTACCCTTATCCGTGTCCTCCTCTTCCTCATCTTCCCCCTGGTACGGAAAGGGAAGGTGAGGGGAAAATGAGGCGCCGAGCCGTCTCCTCAATCTTCTGCTTCGCCAGCTCCGCCTGGTGCTGCCGCCGCAGCTCCTCCTTCGTGGCCTCTTGATTCTCCGACCGCAGGTGCGCCCGGGCGAACACAGCAGGTTCCCCTGCCCCTGCTGCCTCTGCTGGCCGTTTGCCCTTATCCGTGTCCTCCTCCTCCTCGTCTTCCCCCTGACAGGGGAGGGAAGGGAGGGACAGAATGGGAGAGGTGAGACACGCAAGCGGAGCTGCAGCTCCTCCTTTGGATGACCTCCTGGTTCTCCAGCCGCAGTTGCCACGTGTAATGAGGTTATTTTTGAGACGTCTCAAAAATAACCTCATTACAAGCGGAGCTGCAGCTCCTCCTTTGGATGACCTCCTGGTTTCTCCAACCTCAGTTGCGCCCGGGCGAATATAGCAGGCTCTGCCCCTCCTGCTGCTTCCGCCGGCCGTTTCCCCCCATCTGCCTCCTCCTCCTCGTCCTCGTCTTCTCCCTGGTACAGCGCATCAGCACGGCAAGTGGGGAGGGGAGGAAGGGGAGGGACGGATGAGGCAAGGAGAGCTTGAGCTGCTCATTTAGATCCGCCTGGTGCTGCCGCCGCAGCCCCGCCCACCTTGAGGGAGCGAGGGAGTAAGGAGACCCCACACACCCTCCCTCACACACCTCGAGGGAGTATGCCACGTCAGCAAAGGACTTGGAAGCAGAGGCGGTAGCAACGTTCACCCAGCGGTCCTTGTCAGCAGCGCCCCTCACCGCCACCGTATCCGCCACCAGCAGCATCCCTTCACCCCACACACCCCGCCCGCCTTTTGAGGGAGTGAGCAAATAAGGGGGCCTTCACCCCACACAGCGCACATACCTTGAGGGAGTAAGGGGGCCTCACACACCTTAAGGGAGTATGCGACATCAGCGAATGACTTGGAGGCAGAGGCGGTGGCAACGTCCACCCAGCGGTCCTTGTCAGCAGCGCCCCTCACCGCCACCGTATCCGCCACCAGCAGTGCGTACTTCCTCAGCTTCGCACTCCCGCCCTTCCCCCCCTCCTTCCCCCCTTCCTTGCCTCCCGCGCCCTCTGCGTTTCCGTTTGCCTCGGCTCCCTCTTCCCCTCCCGCCTCTGGGTTGGTGAGGCCGTGCAGCCCCAGCACCACGTTGAATGCCATGCCCGATTTCACTGTCCGCTCGTTCTTGGCGTTCAGAGTGAGTCCAGCCTCCCGAAACTCTGCAGGGCAGCACAGCATAGGGAAGCACAGGGCATGAAGGGGGTTGGTGAGGCCGTGCAGCCCCAGCACCACGTTGAATGCCATGCCCGATTTCACTGTGCGCTCGTTCTTGCCGTTGAGAGTCAAACCAGCCTCTCGGAACTCTGAGCCGATAGGGAAGGAGGGGGGGAAGAGGGGAACAGAGGGGGGAGGGGAGGGGAAACAATGAACAGGAGTGGGAGGCACACTCGAAACCGGGGTTGGTGAGGCCGTGCAGCCCCAACACCACGTTGAACGCCATGCCTGATTTCACTGTGCGCTCGTTCTTGGCATTCAGAGTGAGGCCGGCCTCTCGAAACTCTGCAGGGCAGCACAGCATAGGGCAGTACAGGGCATGAAGGGGGCAGTGTGAGGCCGTGCAGCCCCAGCACCACGTTGAACGCCATGCCCGATTTCACAGTCCGCTCGTTCTTGGCGTTCAGAGTGATTCCAGCCTCTCGGAATTCTGTAGGGCAGCACAGGGCAGCATGGCACAGGGAAGCACAGGGCATGAATTAAGGCAGTGTGATGTGATCCCTGAACCCGCTCTCACCAATGTCTATCCCTGCATCCCTTTTCTCACCAATGCATCTCCCTAAACCCCCGCTCACCGATGCCTATGCCGGTGCCGGCGTGTTTGGTGAGATGGGGCACCAGCTCTGGCGCTTCCCTCTCCACCATTGCCACTGCAGCTCGGTACACGTCCCCCCAAGCCGCATCCCGTGCTTACCATCGCTAATGCCACGCCTCAAAGCCTATCCCCCTGAACTGAACTGAACCCCCTCTCGCTGACACCTGTCCCTCAGCCCCCTCTCACCGATGCCTATGCCTTCCCCCCATCTCTCACCGATGCCTATCCCCGTGCCAGCATGTTTGGTCAGATGAGGCACCAGCTCCGGCGCTTCCCTCTCCACAACCGCCACTGCCGCCCGGTACACGTCCCCCAGCCGCACTCCCGGCTTGATCGCTGCAATCGCTGCTTCCTGTGCCCTCAGCAGCACCTGGTGGCGTGGTGGGAGGTATAAATATATATGATGAAAAAAAAAAAAAAAAAAAAAAAAAAACGTTGCCAATTGTTTTTGGAAGAGAATACGAGGCGTCGATGAGGCATGTGCGCGCCACATCGGAGCAGAGAACAGCGTCAGGTAAGTAACACGTGCTGATGCCACAGATGCCACAAACACCTCCTCCCCTACCCACCATCTCCCCCCCCCTCACCTGGTACGCCTTCTCCTGGGCCTTGGTGGCGTCTATCAGGTAGGTGCGCGCGACGTTGGAGCAGTAGGAGGCGTATCTGGCACCGATGGCGCACACGATGCCTTAAAGCCCCCCCGTCAATGCCTTGAAGCAAAAAAGCCTCTTCCCCTACCCACCATCTCCCCTCCCCTTACCTGGTACGCCTTCTCCTGTGCCTTGGTGGCGTCTATCAGGTAGGTGCGCGCGACATTGGAGCAGTAGGAGGCGTATCTGGCACCGATGGCGCACACGATGCCTTAAAGCACCCCCGTCAATGCCTTGAAGCAAAAAAGCCTCTTCCCCTACCCACCATCTCCCCTCCCCTTACCTGGTACGCCTTCTCCTGTGCCTTGGTGGCGTCTATCAGGTAGGTGCGCGCAACATTGGAGCAGTAGGAGGCGTATCTGGCACCGATGGCACCCCCTCCTCCCCCTAGCACCCTATCCCCCTCACCTGGTACGCCTTCTCCTGTGCCTTGGTGGCGTCTATCAGGTAGGTGCGCGCCACATTGGAGCAGTAGGAGGCGTATCGGGCGCCGATGGCGCAGATGATGACGCCCATGGAGTCATAGCACAGGGGGTCGTCACTGCTCACTGCTGACGCCCTCAGGTCGTACTGCCCTCCGCTCTGGGTGGGTTGAATTGAAACACAGGGGAGGGATGGCGGGCGGGGGTGGGGGGGGGGGGGGGGGGGGAGGAGAGAAGGAGGGCGAGAGGTGATGGCGCAGATGATGACGCCCATGGAGTCGTAGCACAGGGGGTCGTCACTGCTCACTGCTGACGCCCTCAGGTCATGCTGCCCTCCGCTCTGGACAAGTGAGCGCAGGGGAGGCATGGGGGGGGAAGGAGAGAAGGGATGGAAGGGGCGGCAGGGGAGGGATGGAGGAAAGAGGGAGGGAGTGCGAGCATTGATGGAGCAGATAATAACGCCCATGGAGTCGTAACACAGGGGGTCGTCGCTGCTCACTGCTGACGCTCCCAAGTCATATGCCCTCCGCTCTGGGTGGACTGAACTGAAACACAGGGGAGGGATGGCGGGCGGGGGGGGGGGGGGGGGGGGAGAAGGAGAGCGAGCGGTGATGGCGCCGCAGATGATGACGCCCATGGAGTCGTAACACAGGGGGTCGTCGCTGCTCACTGCTGACGCTCGCAGGTCATGCTGCCCTCCGCTCTGACAGGGGAGGTGGAGGGACAAGGAGGGGAGGGATGGAGAGTAGGGGTTGGTAGAAACAGACCAAAAAAAAGGAGAATTCTCAACCCTTTACACATCAATAGGTTGTTATGCTGTGGCTGGCAGTTGTAGCAGTTACCTGGAAGATGGGGTCAGGGATAGCAGATATCGCAGTCACCTGAAGTTCATTCCGAATACCTAAAAAGACAGAGGGATGGCAGATGCAGCAGGTACCTGGAAGTGTAAACGGGCGGGTGGCTTTTGAGTCGACTCAAAAGTCAGCAGGTACCTGGAAGTGTAAACGAGCGGGTGGTGACAGTTGCTGAAGTGGAGAGAAGAGGCACATCGAGAATACCTAGAAAACGGGGGGTTAGCAGACATGGCAAATACCTGGAAGAGGGGCGGGTAGCAGTTGCAGCCATGCCCTTACCTGGAAGACGGGCGGGTAGCAGATGTCGCAGTTGTCGGGCTTGAGCTTGACTTTGATCTTGGCGGGGTCGGTGATGACCTCCTCTGTCTGCTCCATCAGCTCCGCGTGTGTCATACTGCGCTCCTCCCCCACTCCACTCTCCCCACTCCACTCCACACACAGCACACAAGCAGGCGCCTCCCTCTCCCCACTCCACCCCAAACACACCAGGCAAGCACCTCCCTCTCCCTCTCTCCACTCCACTCCAAACACACCCAGAAACCAAAGCACAGGCAAACGCACCTGCAAGGAAGGGGCAAGATTGGATACCTGGAAGACGGGCGGGTAGCAGATGTCGCAGTTGTCGGGCTTGAGCTTGACTTTGATCTTGGCGGGGTCGGTGATGACCTCCTCTGTCTGCTCCATCAGCTCCGCGTGCGTCATGCTGCGCTCCTCGTCTATCAGCACCTCCATCTTGGGTACCACGAACGCCTGCAAAGGGGGCGAGAGAGAGGGGGGAAGGAGGAGCGGAAGGGGAAGAGTGAGGGGAATTAGAGGCTGCAAGTGAGTCATGCTGCGCTCCTCGTCTATCAACACCTCCATCTTCGGCACCAAGAACGCCTGAGAGGGGAGGGGGAGAAGAGAGACGGGAAAGGGTGGGGAGAGACGAGGAGGGGAAACGGGAGATGGAGGGGAATGAGTGGAGGGAGGTGTGTCATGCTGCGCTCCTCGTCTATCAGCACCTCCATCTTCGGCACCACAAACGCCTGGAGAGGTGGAGACAAGGGGCGGGGAGGGATGGGGCGAGGTGAAGGAGGGGAAGTGGACGGACGGGGCGGGGAACGTAGCAGGGGGAACGGAGAAGAATGAGGGGAGGCAAGTGCGTCATGCTGCGCTCCTCGTCTATCAACGAACGCCTGAGAGGGGAGGGGGAGGGGAGTGGAGGATGGGGAGACCGAACAAGGAGGGGGAGGGAAGGGTCGAGCTGCGCTCCTCGTGGATAGGCACCTCTTTTCTCAGCACCATGATTTCTCTCCACCGCATCACACCCCATCGCATCTCATTCCACTCCAGCCCAGCAAAAATTCCCACCATCCACTCTCAACCCTATTCCCATCGCTGCCAACCCCATCCCGTTCCACCCCACTCCACCCAGCCCCACCCCATCCAACCGCACTGCAACCCATCCCACCCATCCACCATCAACCCACCTTGAGCGCCTGAGCACTGAGAAACGCGGCCTTCTTGATATTGATCACCTCGCCCTCATCCTTCACTGCCAGAACATCCCCCAGCGCAGGACCCACGTCCACCGTCTCCAACCCCTCTCCACCGCTCTCCCCGCCCTCGCCCCCACCCGCTGCTGCCTCCACTGCTGCCGCCCATTTCTCCATGATCGCCCCCTCTGGCGCCTCCTTTGCCAGCACACCCAGCCGCACCGGGCCTCCGCCTGCCGAGCCTGCGCCAGAGGCTCGGATGGCGTCGATGACCTGCGCCATCTGTGAGGACCCGTCCTCGCTGCGAGGCTTGGGGTGCAGCACCATCTCCACGCCTGGCACGGGGGAAGGGGGAGGGGGGAGTGGGGGAAGGGGGAGTGGGGGAAGAGGAGGGTGGAAAGGTAGAGGCCGCTTAGGTCGGAATATTAATGGCTGTCCTCGCTGCGAGGCTTGGGGTGGAGCACCATCTCCACTCCGCCTGGCGAGGGGGAAAGGGGTGGGGGAGGGGGGGGGGAAGGGGGAGTGGGGAAGGGGGAGGCGGGGGAGTGAGGAAGGGGCGGCGGGAGAGTGGGGAAGGGGGAGGCGGGGGATAGGTGAAGAGGAGGAGGGACAGGAAGAGGCGCCTTAGGGCGGACTACTGGCTGTCCTCGCTGCGAGGCTTGGGGTGCAGCACCATCTCCACGCCTGGCGCGGGGCAAGGGGGAGGAGGAGGGGGAAAGGGGGGGGGGGGGAAGGGGGAAGGGGAGGGGGAAGGGGAGGGGGAGGGGGAGGGGGAAGTAGAGGGAGGGGAAAAGGGGAGGGTGGGGGCAGGTAGAGACCTTCTAGAACGGAATACTACTGGCTTGGGGTGAAGCACTATCTACACGCCTGACGCGGGGGGAGGCGGTGGGGAAGCGAAAAGAGGAGAGATGGAGAGAGGAGAAGGGTCGCTGATGGTGGAAAACTCCGCTGGCTGGCCTCGCCTCCGGGTTTGGTAAGACAAATATTGAAATCGTCTACTGGCTGGTCACTTGGGGTGGCCGGTCAGTCAGTTCAGGTGTACATACATACTCCATCGTCTGCCCTCACCTCCGGATACCGGTTTCCCCCTCCCCCATCCAATCCCCCTCCCCGCCTCACACAACCCTTTCCACTCTCCAAATTCTCAGCATCCGAACGGCTAACGCATCTCCCCTTGTCTCTCGGAGTAATCCCTCCCTGGCAATCTCTCCGCCGTACCGGATTTCTCCGCGCACACGCGCCTGACGGCCTCCAGATGCTGCGCCTTCTTCTGGCTACACACCACGTGCACCGCTCCGCCGCCTTCCCCGCCGGCTCCCCCGCCCAGCAGAAACACCATGACGGTCTCCGGGAATTCGTAACCCAGTAACCAGATCTGCAGCGCCGACGACTTGAGGTATCGCATGTCCTCGCTCGCCGGCGGAGTCGCGACGGCGACCGCGCTCGTGTTACCCCACGAACGGCTCTCGTCCTTTCGCCAGCTGTCGTAGAGAAGCTTCAGGCGTCGACCGAACGTGTCCAGATCGAGCTGTAGACCGCTTCCGCCGCCGCCGCCTCCGGAGGGTTTGGAATCTCCCATCACGATCGTCTAAGAACTTGTATGAGGATAATTGGTTGTCTGAGTATCAATCTCCAGATATTCTGCTTGAAGTGGTAATATCCAGGTATTACGGCTGTCTAGACAGTAGTATTCAAAGATTCGATAGCTAGGTATGCCGAATTTCTTATGCTCAAGCGCGAAATCCTTTCTTTCTCAGGATCCGCTCGTTGCTGAGACGCCCAGACTTCGATCGTAAATGCTTCACAGAGCCTGGTTACAAGCCCTGTCAGGCTTGTTTATACACCAGATTCCTTTGTCTCGGCCACTAAGTCGTAATTGTCAACAGCTAACCGCTCGTATGCAATCGGAAAAGCCTCAGGCACTCAAAATCAGTCGTGGACGTACGTACATACGTATAAGTCTCCTGCAACGAAGCAACAATGAAACTGAATAACCGAGCTCTAATCTGCGAATAGAAGTCGGCAAAACTTGGTTCCCCGAACGTTGCGTGAAGATGTGGAAACCCCGTCAGCGCGTACCACCACCAGCTGCCGCGAATACACGAATCCCTACATGGAGCAGCTAGAAGTACGCAAGCCTTAGCTAATGGTGAGCTAACATGGATCCTAGGGGCTGCTGGGGAAAGAAGTTTGCGCGGGAAGCACTGAGACAAAATTACTGGCAAAAGAACCGTGCGTGTGCGAACGGGTTGACTAATTTTGCGAAGAATGGGAACAAATGTTACACATGAAAGCCAAAGGGTTATATGAAGGGTGCTATTCGAACACCTTTATTTAATAGAAAAATGGCTCCGCAACTTATACACATCAAATTACAACCTAATAACAAATCAGAAATAGAAGCTGCCCTTTAGGCAAGCAAAAAGGGTGATAACATTCTAACCCGATAGCCAGGAAGGACTTGATTGTCCTGAAAAATCACATAAACAACTTCGATGAAATGGTGTCCTTAGCGTTCCACGAAGTTCTAACGAGGATGATCTGAACCGCACCCCCCAAGCGTGCAGGAGGCACGCGCCACGCTCGGGTAGAGACCAGTCAGTACCCATCTACACCGAGTGGACAACAGAAGCGAGGCGCGATAATAAGTGGCCCTGCGCGGTCCGCAACACAGCAAGGCTCTCCGCCTTGATCCGCGTGTCCATCGCGGTATTCCTCTCCAGCTGAACCACCGCAGACTGAAGCTCAAACAGCATCTTCTTCACAGCAGCAGGACACGTTACGTCAATCCCAAGGGCGGAGCTTGCGGAAGGCACGGAAGCAGATGCGGATGAATCACGGCGAAGGAAGGATGACTCAGCCTGTGAGCCTTCAGCTTCACTATCTCTCAGTTCCGCAGATTCAAGGTCGTTGCTACACACGGAAGCGGTATCGTCATCAGTTTCTGGAGAAAGAGCCAAGACACGGCGCGAAATTACGGCAGCCGCCGTCGCCGTCGGAAGCGCTTCAGACGCCACTGCGGCTCCCAGGTTCTGCTTCTGCCTCTGCGCTTGCTTGAACGCAGCGAACAGCTGAAGCGCCTTGCGCGCCGACGGCTGCTGCGCGCCGAGCTGCGCGTGGAGAAACAGAAGGAACCCGTTCACGTCGTTCCCGAACTCCTCCTTCATCGCGACTCGATCCCTCAGCTTGCCCACCGCCGCGTCCCACTGCGCGAGGTTCGCGGGCGGCAGAGATCCACGCAACGACGACGTCAACCTGTCGTACTTCACGAGCCGCTCCGCCACGTCAGCGTCGCACGGAAGCACCGCTGGGAGTCCCGACGCCGCCGCACCGACTTCGAGCGCATTTGACGGGACTTGCAAGGGGCAATCTGAGGGGAAGGTGGTCCGAAGCTGGCTGGTGACCTCCTCGTCGAGACGGGCTGCCGCGTGCGAGCGCTTCACGGCGCGTCGGAGGGCCTCCACAGGCGAGAGTGGACAGCGCGCTGGATGAGCGGCGGGAGCTGCGGCGGGAATTGCTGCAGGAACTGGCGGATTGGTCCGCCGGAGTGGACTGGCGCTGATGACACGCGGAATTGGGGAAATTACGTGGGCGGGGGATTGGGCTTGAGGCCTGAATCGGCGGAGCATTGCGAGGAAGGGGAGCGCGGCATTGGTGTTGTCGTCACACGGCGAGCGTTGCGGACTCTGTTCCAAGATCGCGCCGTTGCACGGCGGGCACGGTGGGGGGGAGGCGACCGGAGTAGAGGATAGGCTGAGCGTAGTATCGAGGAGAGTCGCTGGAGGGACGGAGATCGGGGAGGATGAGAGGGATCGAAGACGTTTGCTTGCGTGTAACGAGTCCGCGAAGAGCGAAAAACCTACAGCGGGTAGAGGCTCCATGGCAGGAGCGAAAGGGAGGAAGGCGCGGAAGTGGGTGTAGTCTGGAGTGGGTGAGTTGAACTGGAGAGCCATGGACATTGGCGAAGTATGGGTGGGTTCGGTTCTGAATAAGAACGCGTGGAACGGAAACTCTCGCAGGTTTCGGATTGTGTGAGCGATGGTGCAAATTCGATGGGTGATGAGATGATGGTAGAAGCGAGTGGGTTTTATCCAGGACACTCTTGAGGTGGTGGGAGAGTCAAAGAGGGGGCGTATGAAGGTTTGCTTGCATGGATGTTGCACATGTTTCTGCTCGTTGTGTCTGTGTGTGAGTTGGGTTGGGTTCCAATGCCAACGCGCTGCTGGGCTGTGTGAGGAAGGGGGCGAAATGACGCGCATCGGCGGAAATTTCTCTCAATTGCATCGACCTAAATTACTCCGACCTCGCCACGTGGGCGTTTCCCTTAATTGGATGGACCGCGTTGCGCCCGCCCCCCCAACCCGATTTTCCCGCCCTTCCCCTCCGAATTCGGGCAGCCGTGTGTACTCGCGTGAAATCACAAACAGTCACGATTTTAAATTAGGTAGAGATTTTATTTGACTATCCTGATTAATATTATTTAGAATAGAAATATCACCCTCCGATTACAAAGATTGTAGAAGAAATAAGAATATGTTAATGCAGTGGCACACAATTAATAAAACCCATATTAATTTTAAGTATATCATTTAAAATCAAATTAATTCTAATCGTTATGCTCAAGCTATTACTAATTACAGAATAAATCAGATTTTAACGACTGGATATATTTTATATGAAAAACGAAAAATTAAGTAAAGGTACTAAGTTAAATTTAACTGTGCGTTCCCCAACGGCTCCAGGCACAACCGAACGTGCACGTCATTCAACATTGAAGAACAAAACATCACTGCTTGCATGTCACTTTGGCGCGCGAAGTAAATCACCAATGTTCTGTCCAATCAGACGACGCTCGCATGTTGAAATCTTAGCGTTACGAAAAAGCATGTATTCGTGACTGCTTGTGATTCCACGAAATTCGAGCGGGTGCCCGAATTCGGCGGGGAAGGGAAACGCGAGGGAATTCCATCCAATTAAGGGAAACGCCCACGTGGCGAGGTCGGAGTAATTTAGGTCGATGCAATTGAGAGAAACGCTATTTCCGCCGATGCGCGTCATTTCGCCGAGGAAGGGGCACAGCGCGGACCGGAGGGATGCGTGCACAGTACAGCGCAGCAGAAGCCCACGTCCTTCGTCATGTCAGCATGTGGAAAGGAGAAAAAAAAAGGCGATGAGTGGTGTAGAGAGGTAAAGGTGAGTGGGCTGGGGTGGGAAGGGAGTGGAGGAGGTTGTGGAGAGCTTTCTTTCGGTTGGTGGAATGGGCATTGGCCATTGTCCTCAACACCGCATCACCGAGACGAAAATTCTTCGAGTCCGAGACTTTCTGACTCAGGAAGTGGGGGCACCCAGAAACTTAAAACCAGGGTGCACATTCATTCCAATTTCATCAAAGGTTATCCCTTGACCGGCCGAGTTACGGCGTTTCCCGACTGTGGAGGTGGGGGAAACAATTTCTTGCTTAGCGGAAGAAAGCGGAGTGGTTCAGAGTGGTATTCCCCCCTCAATTTCCCCCAATCCAATTTCCCACACATCTTGACGGACACATCGAATGTTTGTGTACTTCGTTCCTGCCAAACTTTTTTCGCCGAACACCAATTTCTTTCCGATGGGAGTACACCCATTATGAATGTGCACCCTGGTTTTAATCTGGTGCCCGACATGCCATCCTCATGGGCTCTGCTCTTGCGCCCCTTGAGGCCATTTACGAATATTGTACAATTGGCAGATAAATGGCCATTCACAAAGACAGAAAACTTGCACTGCCCTAGAGTGACAGCGTTATGCGTTGTCGGCGAATGGAATAATGGCAGCGTTGATGTTCTAGACACGCACGCTTCGTTTCCTTCGCCTTGCTGGATGCGGTCCTGCTCCTCGTGTGGTTGGCTGAAGCGTGTGTCTTCACTGCTCCCCGCCCTTCAATGTGTGGTTAAATCTCCGATAGAAATTGGATCGCAGAATCGAGGTCACTTGCGACTTTTTTTGCTGCTTGATGAGCGGCTTCTGCAACTCGACCATCCTCTCGCATGAAGGGAGCTGCCACTGTTCAGAAATCTTCCAACAAACATTCATCCGACGTGGCGCTTCGAGTCGGATCTGATCATGGGGGAGAAGCGTGCGAAGGAACTTTTCGGACGCCTGTCTCCAACACCACAAAACACCATGCTTGCTGACTCAGCATACTAATGCGCTGGCGAGCAAAGGGGGACACCTATCTTGCGCTGGAATCCAGTCCAGCGCCAACGGGTGAAAGTTGGGTGTTGGGGACTCGGGGATTGGCTTCAATGTGGTATGGAATGAATAGAAGAATCTGGGGATAGCGTATGGTTCAAAGCTTGTTCAACTTGCTTGAAATACACCCTGTTTCTCAACGTTCGGACAATCTGGAGCCCCGGCTACAGTGCGAACGTGTGCTTGGATTTTGCGGGCTGGTGCTTGCAACCAAACCCCAGGTAGGTGGCGGGCAAATGCAGTCCAGGCGAACGATACACAACGGTTTATGAAAGAAACATTGCTATCACGTACGGTTGATTGCGGCGAACTGTGCTTATATGCTATGTTCTGGGAGCGTTTTGGACGCGTTGATGTCAGAATAAGCGGCATGTCAATACAGCGACTGTCAGTGTGGCGCGAAACAGGGTGTAGGTTGATTTTCTGTTTCAACAACCTCCTCCATGGAGCATTTATGCGAGGTAGACTGTACACATACACTGTACCGTAACGAGCCGTACACTGCACCCCCATAGCCATTTGAAACCCAGTAACCGACGCGTCACTTTCTTTCGTTTGAATGCTTTTCAATGAGATGCTTCACATTGTACAAGGGTCACATAACTGTTTTGGTCGGGATGTGTATTGAGCGAATATGAAATGAAAATGCCCGCCCTTATTATATGGCTATAATTTCGTGAAGGGATTCCACAAACCAGACATGGCTATCATGAAGCTGCTGTAATCTAAATTCTGTATCTACAAATGGTTGTACGTTTAGACCCACCATAGCTATCTGCACAACAACTGCACTACACTTCCTGCACTGTCAAACGCTCTGCATTATTGCATCCGTGTGATGTAAATACCATATGCATGGAAATTGCAACAAATGAATCATTCTCATGGTATTTTGGAGTAATTACAATACCTCCACTGCTGCTCCCACTAGTGTAGCGCGCTGCTTCCACTGTTGCCCTAAGCTGCCCAGTACAGCAAACAAGCTTAATCCTACACTTTTCGAACCTAATACTGGCAGTGCGTTAACACAATCGCCACGAAGGCTCTCTGTGCATTGAATATCTCAAACTGTCAAAACTGTGTCACGCTGAGATACATGAATTTACTGGTTCCATTGCTGCTCTGACCCCTGGTGCTGCTGCTGCGTTAACAGGTGAGCTTGCTGCAAAAGGTCAGGCACTTGCTGCTGCTGCTGCTGTTGCTGTTGATGTTGGTTTGAGAAACTGGACAAGCCAGAATACTGCTGCTGCTCCTGCGCCTGCTGCTGCATTAACATCTGCTGCTGCTGCTGCTGCTGCTGCTGCTGCATCTGCATCTGTTGCATCTGCATCTGCTGCATCTGAATCTCCTGCTGCATGTCAATCTGAGCCTGCTTCATCCTAGAATACTGCGCCCGGCCCTCCACCGAATGAGCCATCGCCTGCATCCGGCTCACCGCCAAGCTCACCTCTCTCTCCTCCCCATCCCCATTACCACCCCCCATCTCCCCACCCTCCTGCTGGGAGGCTCGGAGCCCGCGCACGCCGCTGCGGCGGAACCGCCAGCGCAGGACCGCCTTGGCGATGATCCCCAGGCCCCACTTCATCTTCTTGTACTTCACCCGCTGGATGTGCCCCTTCACGTGCGCCTGGAGGGGAGAGAGGGGTGGTGGTCGTGGGTGTGGGGAAGAGGGTAAGGGAATGATTGGGGCAGTGGAGGTGCTGATTGCACTGCCTTGGCGATGATCCCCAGGCCCCACTTCCTCTTCTTGTACTTCACCCGCTGGATGTGCCCCTTCACGTGCGCCTGGAGGGGAGAGAGGGGGGGTGGTCGTGGGTGTGGGGGAGAGGGGAAGGGAATAATTGGGGCAGTGGAAGTGCTGATTGCACTGCCTTGGCGATGATCCCCAGGCCCCACTTCATCTTCTTGTACTTTACCCGCTGGATGTGCCCCTTCACGTGCGCCTGGGGGTGGAAGGGAAAGTGTAGGGAGGAGTGGGCAGGGGAAGGAATGGGGCAGTTAAGTGCGGATTGCACCGCCTTGGCGATGATCCCCAGGCTCCATTTCATCTTCTTTTACTTCACCCGCTGGATGTGCCCCTTCACATGCGCCTGGGGAAGAGGGGGTGGAGGGGGTTACGGGTGTAGGGGAAAGGGGAAGCGAAAGGTGGGGGCAGTTATAGAGCTAACTTCACCGCGTTGGCGATGATCCCAAGGCCCCACTTCATCTTCTTGTACTTCACCCGCTGGATGTGCCCCTTCACGTGCGCCTGGAAAGGGGTAGGTAGGGGAAGGAAGGGTTGGAGCAAATGAATTATAGTATTTGTACCACTCGCTCTACTAGCTTCCTACCACTCGCCCTGCCACTTCAACCTACAAGCCACCACCCTCACCTGGATCTTGATCACGCGCTGCCGCATGCGCAGGAACTCCCTGCGGTGCTTCCACGTGCGGAACCGCCTCTGAATGCTCCTGAATGAATTTGACTATTTCTCTACTACCGCCCCTGCCAAGCCCCCTACCACTTTCCCTACAAGAAATCCTCACCTGAATCTTGATCACGCGCTGTCGCATGCGCAGGAACTCCCTGCGGTGCTTCCACGTGCGGAACCGCCTCTGAATGCTCCGCGCCGCCTCTGACTGCTTGAAGGTCTTGTGCCCTCGGAACGCGTTCTGAATCTTCCTTGCCGCAACCAGCATTCTCGCCTCCTCCTCATCCAACTCATCGTCCCCTCCGATCCCCAGCCCTGCCGCGGCCTCTGCTGCTGCCGCCACTGCTCTCTCCTGCTCCCGAAGCTCCTCCTCCTCCTCCTGCTGCTGCCTCCTTCGCTCTGAGTGCTTCCTGAACCGCTCCTGGATCAACGCTGCGGCTTGCGCCGTCCTTCGAATCGCATCCAGCGTTTCTTGCATGTCGGGCGATGCAGCGACAGAAGCGGGACGAGCCGCACCCGGGAGACCACCGGCAGCAGCGGCACCAGCAGCAACAGCAACAGCACTGGCACCACTGCTGGCACCTGCTGCTGCTGCTGCCACGGCTGCGTGACCGGCAGCAGCGGCGGATTGGAGAAGAGTAGGATCGGTAGCCAGCTGGTGCTGGTCCTGAATTGTCATGGAGGAGAGGGAGGCGTTGAGAGACGACTCTGCTAGATAGGCCGCGATGCCCGTGTGAGCGCATGCTGCCGCCGTGTCTGCTGCTGTGCGCTCCGCCCCTCCCACTCGCGCCAGCAGAGTGGCGTTGGCGCCCGCCGCCACCAACGCCACCACCATTGCTTCCCTGCAGGGAGGTGGGCGGGGAACAGAAGAGAGGAGGGAGAGAAGGGGGAAAAGAGAGAAACGACGGGTGCGGGGAGGAGAGGGAGGCGTTGAGAGACGACTCTGCTAGATAGGCCGCAATGCCCGTGTGGGCGCATGCGGATGCTGTGTATGCTGCCGTGCGCTCCACCCCTCCCACTCGCGCCAGCAGAGTGGCGTTGGCGCCCGCTGCCACCAGCGCCACCACCATTGCCTCTCTGCAGGGAGAGAAGAGAAAGAGGACAGAGAGAAAAGGGCGGAAAGAGAGAATAGAGAGAGAGAGACGAGGGGAATGGCGGAGGAGAGGGAGGCGTTGAGAGACGACTCTGCTAGATATGCCGCGATGCTCGTGTGGCCGCACGCTGTCACTGTGTCTGCTGCCGTTCGCTCCGCCCCGGCCACTCGAGCTAGGAGAGAGGAGTTGGCTCCCGCCGCCACCAGCGCCACCACCATTGCAGGAGGGCGGGCAGAGAGAACAGCGAGGGCAAGGAGGGAAAGGGGAAAAATGGGAAGGAAGTCCTTTTGAGGCACCTCAAGAGAAGCGTTGGCGCCCACTGCCACCAGCGCCACCACCATTGCCTCTCTGCAAGAGGGGTGGCGGGGAGAACAGCGAGAGAAAGGAGAGGTAAAAAGGGAGGAGAGAGAGAAAAAAGGGTTGGCATTGGCACCCTTCCCTCCCCCCTCACAATCCGCCCCGGAGAAGAGAGAGGTAAAAAGGAAAGGAGAGAGAGAAGCGTTTGCGCCCGCTGCCACCACCATTGCCTCTCTGCAGGAGGGTGGGCAGAGATAACAGCGAGGGAAAGGAGAGAAAGGAGAGAAATGGGAAGAGAGTCCTTTTGAGGCACCTCAAGTGAAGCGTTGGCGCCCGCTGCCACCAGCACCACCACCGTTGCATCTCTGCAGGGAGGTGGGCGGAGAGAAAAAGAGGGAGGAGTGTCCTTTTGAGGCGCCTCACGAGAAGCGCTGGCACCCGCTGCCACCAGCACCACCACCATTGCTTCCCTCCAGGTGGACGGGCGGGGAGGAGGGAGTGGGGCCCGGGATGGGATGAGGGAAGGAGAAGTTGAGTGCAAATGGCAGTCTGAATTCAGCGGTGGGAATTAGCGACGCGGGGGAGAAGCAGTGTGTTAATCAACCACTACGTGCTTGCCTCACCCCCCCCGTGTCTCCTACTTATATCTCACCTCCCTTTGTTTCCTTCCTCCTTATATCTCCCTCCCCCAGTATTTCCTCCTCCTTCCTCAAATTCCCGTGTATCATGATCTCTCACCTCCCTTTCGCAGCAGCCCAATGCAGGGCCGTACAGCCTCGCTTGTCCCTTGCGTTCAAGTCCCACCCCACAGCCATGAGCAGAGGCACAGCCCACGGCCACCCCAGTGCCGCCACAAGATGCCCCAAGCCCAGCCCCATGCCCCTCCTGCCCGCCTCCCTCGCTGCATCGCTGTTCAGCGCCAACCAACGGCCCAGATGCTTCCGCATCAGCGCCTGCAGCAGCACGCCCTCCAACCGCACTGGACTCCCTTGGACCCCCCCGACTCCTCCCTCCACTCCTCCTCCTCCCCCTCCCGCTCCTCCTCCTCCTCTCTCTGTATCAGCCCCTCCTTGACATTGCAGCCTGAGAGCATATTCGTCTGCATCCTCCTCGTCACTCCCATACCCCCACATGTTCATCTCTCTCTCTTCATCCTCCTCCTCATCCTCTTCCTCCTCTCTATCCACCCCCATTCCCTCCCTCCCCGCCACGTCCTCCCCCCTGTTCCCATCCAGTCTGCCCCTCCAATCAGCTTCATCCGGGCATGCTGCTGACGTGGACGCCAGCGCCTCATCCACCCACGCCCAGTCAGCGCTGACGTCCGCCAGGCTGGCACGGTTGATGCGGGAGATGAAGCCGAGGAGGCGGCAGAGCAGAGCGCGCTCAGAGAGAAACAGGCGGGAGAGACTCGGTCTGCTACCATCCCCTTCACCACCAGAAGCACCAGCAACAGAACCAGCAGCAGCAGCACCAAGACCACTCTTGGCAAAGGTTCTGTTTCGGTCTAAGGCCAGGCTCTTTTTGAAAGACTGCCAAGGAGGGAGAAAGTCAAAGGGAACAGGAGGGCTACAAGGCACTCTCTTCATCGCCTTCCCTCCCTCTCCTCCTACCCCTCCTCCTCCCGCTGCTGCTCCAAACCCTGCCCCCCCACCCCCGCCTGCTACTGCCATGTCTTGATTCATAGCATCTCCACCCCCTCCATTGTCCACACCCGCGGACCCACAACCCTCACCTTCACCCGCAGGAGCAGTGACAGCAGCAGCAGGGGTGCAGGTGACACGCAGGCTCACCCGCCCCTGCTTGTGAATGGGAGCCACGCACCGCAGTACACCGTGCACAACCTGCTCAGCTTCCACCTCCACCTCTCCAAACGTCACCCCCCACCGCACGCCCCACACCGTGTCCCCTCGCCCGAAGCTCCCGCTGCCGGCCCCCCCAAGCCCGCCCCCCCCAAGACCGCCCCCGGCACCGAAACTACCCCCGCCCCCACTAAGGCTGCCGCTGCCTGAGAGGCTGGCGCGGGGGGAGGAGCGCGTGTGGGGGCTTGGGGTGCCTCTGGGGTCGTGCACAGAGCCTGCTAGCAGCACCTGGGTGGGATTGACGGGGGGTGAGGGTGGGGGTGGGGGTGGGGAAAGGAGGGAATTGAAGGTTGGAGGTGGGGATGGGAAGAGGGACACACGCAGGAGAGTAGCTCTTGAGAGTTGTTGATAGGAATCTAAATATTTTGGGGTACAGACGAGCGAGAAAAGGGATTGCGCAAGCAGAGTGAGAACATGTCGGCCCATTATGCCCCATTGACCTTAACCCTTCTTTTCCATGTCGACGTTTCAAGCGGGGGGGATGCTTTGGTATAGTGAGCGTCACACTAAGGCGAAGCACAAAAGCAGCAGCGGCAGCGCTACGGCGGCGGCGGCGGCAGCAGCACCAGTACGCACCTTGACGCCGCCCATGGTGGCAGCGGAGGTGGGAGCATAGTCGGCAATGGAGAAGGTCACCATCGGCCCCTGAGGTGAGCTATATTGCTGCTGTTCATAATGAGCTTTCTTCTCAGTTTGACCTGCGCACCACCACCACAACCACCACCACCACAACCACCAGCAGCACCAGTACGCACCTTGACCCCACCCATGGTAGCAGCAGAGGTGGGAGCATAGTCGGCAATGGAGAAGGTCACCATCGGGCGCGGCGAGTCTGCTGCTGCCACCGACCCCATACCCCCTATCGACCCCATGCCCCCCATGGACCCCATACCCCCCATCGACAGCATCCCGCCCCCTATCCCCCTCCTCGCCCCCAGTCCTGCTCCTCCTCCTCCCCCCACACCCCCTCCTCCTCCCCATCCTCCTCCCCCCGCTCCCGCCCCCACTCCAGACACCCCACCGCCACTAGCAGCAGCAGCAGGAGCTGTGCTACCGAGAGGAAGCATTGGAGACGCACCCATGAAGGACAGATCATACTTGCTGCCTCCCAGCCCTACACCATGCTCCTCCTCGCCGTCCCCTCCCACCTCCTCCTTCACCCCTAGCTTGAAGCTCATCTCCTGCCTTTCCAACCCCGTCTCCGCGCCCCCAAACGAGGGGGAGTGCATACCGGAGGAGGTGGGGGAGGAGGGGAACGGCTCGGGGGAGGAGAGAGGGGAGGGCGTGGGGGCAGACCTCCGCATGGCCTGGCTGGTTTTCATGTCAAACGCGTCATTGCCACTGCTAAAACCGCTGCCACCGCCGCCACCACTGCCAAATTCACCGCCACCGCCGCCACCACTGCCACCACCAGCACCAGAAGCAGAGAGAGGGAAGGCGCCCCCTCCCATAACCGCGTCCTCTCCCACTCCTGCCCCATCCCCGCCTGCTCCCCCGCCCCCTCCACCACCACCGTCCCCTTTATAAACCTCCTCGATCCACTCGCCAAAGCTGTCCAGCTTCCGAAACAGCGCAGGCTCGTTGGGCATGCTGCCGCTCTGAGGGATGCTGCCGCTCTTAGGCATGCTGCTGCCGCTGGGCGGCAGGGGGAACCCAGACAAGCTCCTGTTCGCCCCGTCCGTCTGCATCTCATCAAACATATTCGAGAATCCCGGCCGCCCCGAGCCTCCCGAGCTTCGGAGCTCCGGAGGGTACGCGCCGAGCCAGCTCTCGGGAGGCACGGCCGGAGCTGCGGCGGCTGCTATGGCGGCGGCGGCGGCGGCGGTGGCGGCAGCAATGGCTCGAGGGGAGCCGGAGGCGCCGCCTCCGCTGAAGGCTGCTTCCCTGCCTGCCTCGTTGAGAGGAAGGGTCTGCAGGAGCAGCGATGACTGGTGGGTGGGTATGGGGAAGGCCGGTTGGGAGAGAGAAAGACAGGGGAGGGGCGGGAGGGAAGAGATGCAGGAAGGAAACGGGTGAAGTTTTGAAAGGGTAGATAGGTGCAGGTTGAGCTATGGCTGCGGCGGTGGCGGCAGCGATGGCCGGGGGTAGCCGGAGGCGCCGCCTCCACTGAAGGCTGCTTCCCTGCCTGCCTCGTTGAGAGGAAGGGTCTGCAGGAGCAGCGATGACTGGTGGGTTGGTATGGGGAGGGTTGGGGGAATGGGGAGGCGGTTGGTGGCGAAAGACAGGGGGAGCAGGAGAAAGGGAGGAGTCGGGAAGGAAAACGGTGAAGCTTCGTTAAGATCCTTCAACCCATCCTTGCACCCACATACTCACCCACCCACCCACATGCGCACAAGTCCACCCACCCTCACCAGTCCGCCCTCCACCCGCACGCACCAGGTCTGTGTGTGGGCCCGAGGAGCCCGAGCGAGCATACATGAGCGAGTTCAGCTGCGCCTCTGCTGCTCCTCCCCTCACGCCCACCCCAGGTGACTCCCTCCCCCACCCACACACACCCGCCCACCTCAACACACCAATCCCCCCACCCTCCTGTGACCCGGCCACCCGCACGCACCAGGTCTGTGTGTGGGCTTGAGGAGCCCGAGCGAGCATACATGAGCGAGTTCAGCTGCGCCTCTGCTGCTCCTCCCCTCACGCCCACCCCAGGTGACTCCCTCCCCCACCCACACACACCCGCCCACCTCAACACACCAATCCCCCCACCCTCCTGTGACCCGGCCACCCGCACGCACCAGGTCTGTGTGTGGGCTTGAGGAGCCCGAGCGAGCATACATGAGCGAATTCAGCTGCGCCTCTGCTGCTCCTCCCCTCACGCCCACCCCAGGTGACTCCCTCCCCCACCCACACACACCCGCCCACCTCAACACACCAATCCCCCCACCCTCCTGTGACCCGGCCACCCGCACGCACCAGGTCTGTGTGTGGGCCCGAGGAGCCCGAGCGAGCATACATGAGCGAATTCAAATGCGCCTCTGCTGCTCCCCCCACGCCCATCCCAGGTGACTCAAAGTCACTCGCACACGTGCCAGTCCCCCCACCTGCACAGCACACTCCCGTCCACCCAGCCACACCACACCAACGCCAGTCCACCTGTCCGCACGCACCAGGTCTGTGTGTGGGCCCGAGGAGCCCGAGCGAGCATACATGAGAGAATTCAGCTGCGCCTCTGCTGCTCCTCCCCTCACGCCCACCCCAGGTGACTCCCTCCCCCACCCACACACACCCGCCCACCTCAACACACCAATCCCCCCACCCTCCTGTGACCCGGCCACCCGCACGCACCAGGTCTGTGTGTGGGCTTGAGGAGCCCGAGCGAGCATACATGAGCGAATTCAGCTGCGCCTCTGCTGCTCCTCCCCTCACGCCCACCCCAGGTGACTCCCTCCCCCACCCAAACACACCCGCCCACCTCAACACACCAATCCCCCCACCCTCCTGTGACCCGGCCACCCGCACGCACCAGGTCTGTGTGTGGGCTTGAGGAGCCCGAGCGAGCATACATGAGCGAATTCAGCTGCGCCTCTGCTGCCCCCACGCCCACCCCAGGTGAGTCAAAAGTCACTCGCACACACACCCGTTCCCCACCCACACACACACCCCCGACCCACCCACATCCGCCCACCTGCACACACCAACCCCCTTTACCCACACCCACATCAGTCCCCCTCCCACCCACCCGCACCAGTCCGCGGCCCACCCGCACGCACCAGGTCTGTGTGTGGACCGGAGGAGCCTGAGCGAGCATACATGAGCGAATTCAGCTGCGCCTCTGCTGCTCCCGCTGCTCCTGCCGCTCCTGCTGCCGGCAGTGCAGCATTCCCCGAACCAGCAGCACCTGCGCCTGCTGTGCCATCTGCTCCGAAAGAGCCTGCGAGAAGGTGGGTGGGGACAAGATGTGGGGGGGTCCGAGGGGGAGGGGGAGACGGGTAGGGGAGGGCGTGGGGAGCACAAGGGGTGCATGCATGGGGTGAGATGCGTGGTTGATGACTAGCGTGGCTGCAACCCACTGCACGGCACGGCACTCCACTGCACCGCACTACTGCACCGCACTGCACTGCACCACATGGCAATTGCAAATAACAAACATCAAAGCAGTGGGGCGAGAAAGTCGCAAACCGTTGGGCAGGGGACCAACAGCGGGTGGGGTGGGAGGGAAGAGGTGGAGCACAGCTGGTGCTTTACAGCCCGATGCAACAGAGGCAGTGTGAAGGAGAGTGGCGGGGTGAGGAGGAAAGACAGTGGGCCAGCCGCAGTACCTGCGAGGCCTGACGCCTTGATGAGCTCGTCGAGCACCACTGTGTCTCGCAGGAGCGACTGCATGTCCCTCTGCTGCTGCTGGTGCTGCTGCTGTTGCTGCTGCTGGTGCTGCTCCAGCAGCCTCGAGAGCTGCTGCTGCTGGTTGTTCTGGACAACGGGTATGAGAGAGAACAGGAGATAAGGGAGGTGTGAGCACGAAGGAGGAGGAAATTGGGAGGCCGGGTGAGACGGGAAAAGAGGGGGATGGGGTGGTAGGGGAGGGGAGGTTGGGGAAAGAAACGGAGTCAAGGGAAGGAGGCAGTATGAGGCAATTTTACGGATGTTACTGGGAAAAAAAAAAAGGAAAAAAAAAATAAAAGAAAAGCAAAAGTAATGCTGATGTCTAATCCGGCCGACCTCCTGCATGAGTGCGTCAGCAGGCCCCGTGACAGACACCCAGGCTGCCATGCAACGCACTGACAGAGCTGGACAACAGCCCCCCATGAAATCCGTCATCCCCCCCGCCACCTGCTGCTTTGAGTCGACTCAACACCCACCCATCTGCTTTAAGTTGACTCACAACTCGACTCACCTGCTGCAAGAGGGGATCAGCCGGCCCCGTGACACCCAGGCTGCCGTGCGACGACAACCCCATGAAATCCGTCATTCCCCCTGCCACCTGCTGCTGCGGCGGCGGCGCCTGCTGCTGCTGCTGCTGCAGCAGCTGCTGTTGCAGCAGCCTCAACTGCTGCTGCTGCACTGCCTGCTGCTGACCCACCCCCAGGCCACCACCGTCCATCCCGCCGCCAACGCCCCTGCCGCCACCCGCAGGCAGATCCAGCTGCGTCCAGTTCACAGCCGAATCCCCCTCCTCGCCGAACCGCTCTGAACCGCTCTCATACTCGTCCTCCTCGCCCTCCTCCCCGCGCCTCCCGCCGCCCACGAACGCCCCGGACTCGTTCCCGCCTGCGTTCGACGAGCAGTACTCGTTCCCGTGGCTGGGGGACGCGGGAATATCCATGGAAAACGCGCCCCCGCCCCTTCCGCCCGCCCCCATGCCAGCTCCGCCGCCGGCACCCGCCCCGCCCCCAGCAGCTCCGCCCACAGAGGCGGAACTGGAAGCGTAGGGAAGCCCTATCATGCGCCCGCTGCCAGAGCGACTGGTGGAAGGGGTGTGCATCCCCATCCCACCCCCACCCACACCCCCAACACCACCCGCACCAACACCCGCACCGGCACCAGCACCAGCGGCGCTGACGCTGCCTATACCCGCGCCAGCCGCGCTGCTGCCCGCGCCCATTAGCGTCATGCCAACACTGCGGCCGCCGCCGCCGCCGCCGCCTATACCCCCCACTCCGCCGCCCACGGACGCGGAGAGGTCGTCGATGCTCATATCGGGGCCCTGGCCGGCATAGATTGGCATGGAGTCGACTGTGCTGTGTCGGGGGGACTGCTGCGCCCGCCCCGTGCCCTGGAGTGGGGTAAATGAGACCGAGGGAAAGCGGGAGTGGGGGGTGGGGAGTGGAGATGTGCAGGGAAGGCGACAGAGAAGAGGGGGGAGGGGTGGGGTGGAGGGGGGAGGAGAGGGGGGTGGGGGGGTGGAGAGATGGCAACGGCGCGGTCAAGAGAGTCAAGCGAGTCAAGAGAGGTCGTCGATGCGAAGATGAAGAACCACGAAGTGCAAATGCCTGCCTAGTGTCACTTTTGAGAATTCTCAAAGGCGGTAAGCAGCAGAGTGTGTGAGGCAGGCATGTACCTGAGCCACTTCACGGTAATGCACCAGGACAATGTTCTCGTTCTCCCTGCAGCAGCACAGGGAGATGAATGGACAGGCACATTGGGGCCAGTGAGAGGCAATAAGGAATCAAGGGAGGGGGAAAGGAATAGGGAACGGAGGGGGTGGGTGGGTGTGGGGAGGATTAACGACCAAACGTAACGACAGATGCTGAGATGAGACGCAATCAGATGCAGCACGGCAACACGCGTGGGGAGAAGTGCAGGAGGAGAAGCGAAGCGGGTATCAAAGCAGCACGGTGACGAGAAAGAGAACGGCGCGACAGGCCCGAGGGTCCTGGCGCGCGTCCGCCCTTTCGCACGCGTGGATCGAGTGAAGCTGGAGTGGCGGCGGGACGTCGGCGCGCTCACCCGCCGCAGTGGCGGGGCGGGGGGGCATGCGCGCACTCACGGTGGGAGTGGGGGCGTGGGGGGCGTGGGGGGGTGGACCGTGGAACGATGGGGGACATGCGCGCGCTCACCCGTGGGAGTGGGGGCGTGGGGGGCGGGGGGGGGTGGAACAATGGGGGACATGCGCGCGCTCACCCGTCGAGCAGCCAGTAGCAGCGGCGCTGGAAGCGGTCATCGCTCTCCGCGTGCGCGTAATAGCAGTGCAAAATGTCCACGCTGCCCGCCTGCCCCACGCCATGCCGCGCACGCGCGCAGAGATCGAGGGGTGGGCGAAAGACAAATATGTGGGAAAGGAGGGAAGGGCGACAAGCAGATTATCAGGCAGATTTCCTGAAGGAGCTAAAGCGGCATATTGCATGAGGAAACAACTACCTCTGCGCATGGAGAAAAACGAAGCGAAGCGACCTGCTGCCATACAGCCACTGGTTGCATCAACCCACAGGCAATGCAGCCGTCATTCTCTTCCTTTCCTTCACTTACTCCTCTCATTTCTTCCTCTCATTCTTTTCCTCGCATTTTCCTCCCACTGCGCCCTCAATTTCGTTCCTCACATAGCATTCACATGCATCATTCAACCCATCCATCAGAGTCGCGCGCGATCCGGCGCAGCGCACCTTGAGCTTTTCGTGCGCCTCGCGAACGGTCTTGCCGTCCTTCTTCTTGCGCCACACGTGCCCGTCGCGGCGGAAGTACCGCACCACCTTCCGATCGAACAGGAACAGCGACCCGCCTGCGCGCAACCGTGCCACGTCATCATCGCACGGAGAAAGTCGAATGTATGTAAACTTGCGATGACCTTGGGTTTGCATTGAAATTAGGGTTGCTTTGACATCGGACACGGATCGTACGAGTTTGATGAACGAGGACGGTACGATCACGACGAAACACGCATGGTCAGCACGGACAAAGGAGATCAAAACTCGCAGCGGAGAAAACGGGCGGAGGGAGGGGAGGGGGAAGGGTAAGGAAATGTGGAGGATGAAGGGGGGAAATCCCAAGATCCAACGGTCAACAATCCTTACTTGGCGGCTTGGCGGGCGGCTCTTGGTTGAGCTGGAACTCGTACTTGCGGAAATTCTGGAGGATGTTGCACACCTCGACCGGCTTGAGCCATCGCGTGCGCGCCTCCAGCAGCACGTGCCCGATGTCGATGTCCTCTGGTGGTCGCGCCGCGGTGCGCACATTGTGTGACGGTAGGGAAGAGAATGGAGAAAGGTTTTGTTAGAATGCCAAAGACATGACGATGCAGTATTGTGGAGACAAGAGCACATGTCTTTGGCGCGCCTCCAGCAGCACGTGCCCGATGTCGATCTCCTCTGGTGGTCGCGCCGCGGCGCGGCACGGGAAAGATCGGAGGGAGATTTCGTTAGGTTAAGGAAACAACCAGAGCAGCATTTGGTTATTGTAGGGAGGAGAATATTACAGGAGGCAAGAGCACATGGAAATGTCAATGTCCAATAATCGTGATGGGATAGGCGAGATTTGACAGACAAATGAGAGTGAGGTGTGGGACCATTTTGTCGTCACATTACGGAAGACGAGAGACCAATAAGACTCCGAGTTGGATAAGGGAAACATTATGTTACGAACTGCGGAAGTAATCTTTTTTTAGACATGGATCATGGAACCGGATTGAAACCCTAGAAGCTTTTTAATAAGAGATTTAGTCGCACTCAGACTCTACTAAGCAGTGTGCGAGAGTTGAGCGTTTTACGAAGAGCAGGCGAGAAACGCCAAGGCTTTTAACTGGTCGGAAATGGTAAGCGAAACCTTGCCTGTTGGAAAAGGCTGCTTCCGTGCCGCCATGACGGGTAGTAATCGTGAGTTCCGATTAGGGTGGCGACGTGACGGCTACCAGATCAGTGTCGGACGACCTATGCTGAATCATGGACCACAATGTAATTGGTAATGTCGCCACTAGGGAATCGGGTATATAATTTAGGCATGCGACGGATCCGGAACATAGATTAAAAAAACGACGATCTGGAGATGGAGTCAAGCGACATCTCATAGAGTAACACGAAGGCAGGAGGAACCCTAGGGCAGGAAGTAACGGAAATGGTCCTCTTTTATTTGCATAATCGCATGTGTGTGGGAGGCTGAGCTGGTGCTGCTGACTGGAACTCTGCAGTTGGCGAGGCGAGGCGAGGCGAGGCGAGGCAGCTATTTCAGGAATGTGGTGGCGAGGCGAGAGCGTCCGTCAGTCCTTGACTCTTGTCCTAGGAGGACGCATCACGTCTATTCTGCATCGCTGCTGCTACCCTCTCTATTCTGTCTCGCTCTCGAGACTATCGACTGCTGCTGTGCAACTGACATGCGTGTTTCTGGCTTGCTAGTCGAAACAAAAAGACGAGGAAATGATGCAAGCAGAAAGGCAAAAGGCCAGGCATGGCACTGTCCATCAATCAATCTGAGTCCGACATGTCTGTAGAAAATTACAGAGAAACCAGCTGAACTGTACCCGATTCATACTGAATTAATCTAGCTGTTGGATTTCATTGGATTTTCCTGTTGGACTGCAGCTTCGATGTAGGTTCCAGCCTGTTTACGAGAGGGGAACGACTACCATCGACCGTAAAAGGTCAGGGTGGCGAAAAATAAGATGCCACTATAGAATCACGCCATTGGTGTACTCTGGAGTCTACGAAGAAGTTCCGCCTAGCTCGGAGAAAGGGGCGGTTAATTTTGGTGTCAATTAAGTTGTTGAGGTCAGAATCAGTACCCTTTGTTTTGAACGTTCCGACCAGAGCGTTACAAGGGCAATCACCCTGTGTTGACTAAAACATAAAGCTTTCCTCTTTTGGGCCCTGATTTTGACCAGGTGATTTCTAGCCCAGCCCAGACGAACATATGGTGATTTTAAAACCCGCGGGCCAAGATATTCAAGCTTAGGAAGGTTGGTTGGGAGTGAGGACAGTAATTGCCCGTGAGCCAATAGGAGTGTCGAAGTTGTTGGACGAGGTGGTAGAAACTCGGAAAAATCACAGGCGATTTTGGGACACCCAACCAACACTAGGAATGATGAACCAAATTTGGCCTTCTTGGCCCCCGGGCTTTAAGGGGACCCGGATCAGATTCAATCAGGCTTGTTCCCCGATCAGATTACATAGGCTTGTTCCCTGCGACCCCCTCTGAATCCCCCCCCTCTCCCCCCCCCCCCCCCCCCCCCCCCCCCCCCCCCTCTCTTTTCCCCCTCGCTTTCATACTTTATGTATGTCGCTTAATGGAACTTGCTAAACATCGGGCCTTGTTCTCTATTTCCCCTTTGTTTTTTGTTTCCATTCGAAAATCGAGTTGTATTATTTCCGCACGTAAATCGTCACATTTCTCGCATTTTTATCTCCCCTCCATCCAAATTCCCTACCCAACTTCTAACATATCTAACAAACCCTTACCTAACCATATGTATATTTATTTTAGAAAATAGTGTATCTGAGAAAATATAATCCAACTGAAGTTTCTCATCCCCTCCCACCCCCCGGAAGTTGTTGGCGGTATTTTCTCTGATCTTTTTATGTATGTATTATGCTGGCTCATATGATACATGATCTTGTTTCAGAGGAGACCGGATAGTCCGAGCTAGCAAAGCTCCTAGCATAAGTACTGGTTCCAAATGTACAATTAACAAGGCCCGGTGTTTTTATTTAAGATGACATTCAATTACATGCATCTTGAATTTTGGATGGCTTCCCATTTTCATGTTCTACAATTGTTCACCAACTTTCACGACAACCCAGAATGACAGTGGTTGAAATTCACTGTCTTATGGTCATGTTGCACTGATAGAGACATACAATTCCCACCCCTTCGTTATTGTCGTGCCAATGGTGCAGGTCGAGAGAGTACAATAAGAAGTTCATGCCACCGTCAACGGACCACTATCACGTGAGACTCTCTCAAGTTCTTTTTTAGCATTGGCTTTCCAGGCCTCGATATAATGTCAATGCATAAATGCAAGAAGGGGCTTATGATAGGTCGCGTACAACAACAATTCTCGTAATGACAGGCTGAACACTGATTCTTCAACCTCCATGTTACATCGCGTCGCCTTTGGAGTTCGCATGCCCAATCTGTGTCCAACATCGGCTTTTGAGGTTTGTGCCTTGCTCATCCTGTCTAGGCTCTCATTGTTTGATCATTCTTTGAGTTGCATTGCCAATATGCTTTATTTGGTGCACTCTTCTTTTACAACCCCTAACACTTGGTATCAAAGTTACTTTCCTATGTTCCGCAAAGTGGTCGACTGTAAATTAGATACGATTGAATTACTCCAATTACGATCGTGTGTGTGCCTTCCGCGGATAGTCACTCTACAACGGGAGTTGGACTACTTGGGAGGCTAATGGGGTTGTACGGGGTGATCGAAGCGTTGCTTACGTTCTCATTACTTGTTGTGCTCGTATGTGAATTTGGCAAGAAATTCACTAAGAAACGAGATTGAAAAAACACACAATGGCATGACAAAGTCGATATAGCAAGGAACACAATGCAACAGTCCCATCATCCTAGCAAGCCAACTTGCCAGCGCATAATGGCAGCCTGCCAGCGCTGCACGAAGGCGACTTGTCAATGCCGCATGAAGGCGGCGTGCCAGCGCAGCTGGAAGGCGGCGTGCCAATGCTGCAGCAAGGCAGCTACACAGCGTTGTACCAAGGCAACCTGCCAACACTGCAGAAGCATGTGAACAAGTGCGGACATGTGCGCACCTACCAAAGTAGGTGCAGATCTGCTCAACAGACGGTTGCGTGCACGTCGTGCACGTGGTGCGCATTGCGCAGATGCCAGGTTGTAGAGCACGTGATGCTCTGTGAAGATAAGCAGTAGAAGAAGGCGCCATAGCTAGGTAAGTCCTAGCTAGGCAAGAGAAGTTTAGGCAAAAGAGGAGTTGCACTAGCAAGAATGAGGATACAAATAGCAAACCCTAGAAGGGTTGTACTCGCTATAGAGCACCCCACTACAGGCTAGAGCATAATATTCTGACACACCCCCATAGCCAAAGTGGGGTGTAATCAGCAGAGCAAGCAAAGCAGAACAAGCTCAGGGTGGATCACAATGTCACCACACATTCTGAGCACAAGGTCAGGAAGCAATAGTTTAAAGTTCACAATTATGAGCAAAGCTAGTGGTAGTCACAACGGGCAAGTGAGGAGGAGGAGGGACAGTGAGAGGAGAGGAGATAGGAGGCGACGGCTGAAGCTGCAGACACACGGGCAACAGGAGGCACACTGGCACAGCGGCTACCGGAACAGCGCTCCGGACTACTGGAGTAACTGGCCCCGCGGCTAAAAGTAGCGGCAGACGAGCAACGGACCTACGGGCGACTGGCACAGGTGGCTACGACTGGGCTACCGGAGCAACTCCCCGGACTACAGGTGCTGCTGGCGACACGACGGCAACCTCCGTTCAACCTCCCCCAAACAGTACCACCCCCTGACACACACCCGCTGCTACACCGCTAGCTCCACTCCCCCTTCACCCCCCCTTAGTACCACTCCAACGGCTCCAACAAGTCCACCCCCCCTCAGCGGCAGCTGCAGCACAGGGAGACGGAGGAGGAGGAGGAGCAGGGAACGGCACACAGTAGCTTCACCCCCATACCCCTCACCCCCAAACCCTAATTCAGGAGAACGGGCTGTAGGAGGGGTGGGGCGCCAGTAGAAGCACGGGGGACAGCGGGGAGGGCAGGGGCAGCGAGGAAAGGGCCGCCCACGGGCCTGGCACAGCCTCCCGAACCGCGCGCAGGCGGCCCGAGCCGCGCGCGGGCCTGGCGCAGTCCGTACGGGCCGCGCGCCGGCTGTACGGGCCGCGC